TTTTTTTCGATGGCCCTCCCCCCGGCTCAAAATTTTTTTCCATGGCCCTCCCCCCAGGCCAAAAAATTTTTCAATGGCCCTCCCCCCCAGTGCACCAGCCCTCCCCCCCGGTAAATATCGTACAGTCCCTAAGAAAAGAGGAACAACGTACTTTGCCCTATTTCAATCAGACACGTGTGCACATTACACAGATTGCAATAATGTAAAGGCTTATTGCTTTCTAATACATGTAGGCAGTTGGCAGAAAATGGCAGAAGAAACGGAAAAGCCAACATATACGAGGGCGCTGGAACTACTGCAAGGCTTGAGTGAAAAGGTGCGAAAACTGGAACAATTCAAGGAGAAGGACCAAGCTGTTAAGGAGAAGGACCAAGCTGTTAAGGAGAAGGACCAAGCTGTCAAGGAGAAGGACCAAGCTGTCAAGAAGAGGGACCAAGCTGTCAAGGAAAGGGACCAAGCTGTCAAGGATAGAGACCAGGCTGTCAAGGAGCGGAACCAAGCTGTCAAGGATAGAGGCCAGGATGTCAAGAAGAGGGACCAAGCTGTCAAGAAGAGGGACCAAGCTGTCAAGGAGAGGGACCAAGCTGTCAAGGAGAGGGAACAAGCTGTCAAAGAGAGGGACCAAGCTGTCAATGAGAGGGACCTAGCTTTCATGGAGAGGGACCTAACTGCCGAGATGAGGGACCAAGCTGTCAAGGAGAGAGACCGCGCCAAAGCAGAGAATGAACGGCTGAAGAAAGTTCTCTTCTCCAATAAAACGTTACCAGTGTACCAGATGAGCCACTCTCCCAATGGCGTTTGTCTCATCATTAACAACATCAACTTCAGGGAACTGCCGTCAAGAACTGAAGCAGAAGCAGATACGGGTAAGTGTAATAGGCAGAATCAGGCACCATCATTGTTCAACTGCTGACTATGGTCTATGGCTACTGGTTGGTTATTGTACCCACTATTATAAAAAAAGGCTGCAGTATCGACAGACGATATGTGCGGTGTTTGAGCACAGATAAGCAATCTACAATGTTGACCAGCAACATAGATGGGCTTTCATGCTTGTATCTAATCTGGGTTAGTCAAGGATTTACTTGTTCGCAGTAATCTGGGTTAGTTTGTATGTAATCTGGGTTAGTCAAGGATTTACTTGTTCGTTACCATTAAGTAGTTTAAGACTAAAATATGGCCATCTTCTGTTCAGGTCGTCTAGCCAATGTCTTCAGGGGCTTCGACTTCAAAGTGGTGACCTTGCAGGACCTTGACCATTCCAAGATGGTGGATGTGATGATAAGACAGGGGGAAGACGACCACTCCGGCTACGACTGCTTCGTGTGCTGTATCATGTCCCACGGTACTACGGGGAAGGTCTTCTCCTCCAACGATGTCGGCATCGACATACTTGAACTGATCAAACCCCTCAACACAAAACGCTGCCCTTCCCTAAAAGGCAAACCGAAGTTGTTCTTCATACAGGCTTGTCAGGGGGAGAGGCACCAAAGCCCGGAGCGCACAGACAGCGTGTTCGATGCGGCAGTCACCTCCACTTTTATCGCCAAAGAGGCTGACATCTTCTACGGCCTGGCCACTGTTCCCGGCTACACAGCCATCAGGCACGACTACGGGGCGCCATACGTGCACCATCTGGCCTGCACTCTTACAAAATATGGTAAAACTCACGATCTCCTCACGATGATGACGATGGTCAACGACAACATGAACGCCAGTGAGCAGGGCCGTTTGGTGTCGTCCCACCACTCGACACTGAGGAAGAAGGTGTATCTCTGTGGCACTGCTTGATAGTGCAAAGTAGGAGCAGATCCATATACTCATATAGCCCATACATGCTCCTGATCATGAGTGGAAATCAGATAACAGTTTCACTCAAAACACGAGAAATAGAGAAAATGAACCTTTGCAGCACTGTACTGTATGAGGATTGACAACCTCGTTTGTTTATTATAGAACTCTTCATAGGTAATCAGAATTAGAGATCTCCATATAGCTGATATTCAAAGTTTATGTTTATTAAGTTACGTTTGAACCTCCTCCTTAGTCCATGATCCAGCCTGACATCTGCAAAACAATGATGTCCACTCGTAAATCGACTGGTATATCAAAGTCAACAACATCAGAAACTTTTAAAAAAATGGAACAGGAATTCTTGGATCAGACAAGTCTTACCTCCTGCATAGTTTTTCACAGATTGTAAAAGTTACCAACAGCAACATCTGAAATTCAAAAGATAGTTGTCATTTTCCAAGACCATTAGAAGCAATTGTAACGATAACAGTGAAACAATCTGTGTTAACAATGAAACAATCATCAATGCTTAGTCAAGACTTACGCTCAATGTAATTGAATTCCTCTAAACAAACCGTTTTCAAAGGTTTGAAAGTATATTTGCAATAATAGAGTAAATAAACATGAAATCTAAAACTCTTTGATTGTATCCATGTATTTTCTCATTCTTTGTCTTATTCTTATTCATTGATCACATAGATATACTTATCACAAGCTAAATGTACTTACAGAAAATAAGATAAACCCTGAGAACGCTGTTGTTGCCCAGGGCAACCCAAACTTTTCTACCAGCGCGCTGCTGACTGTCGGCCCTACAAACGACCTGAAATTTCACAGGCGAGCAGATTATTCAACGGGTTGGTATGGGGAAGTCATCAGATTATCCATGTGCGCCTTACTACAAACATGTAGATAAGCGTGTGTTATATAGAAGAACTTTATATATAGAAGAACGTTATTGTGCGACAATTGTACAAGGTACAATTTCTGGCAACGACTACTGAACATACATGTAGTACAAAAAGAAAAGTTTATAGAATGAAAATTAACATCCTAATTACTAAACGTCAAGAGACAATATAGTTTACAATCAAGTAGTGCTACGTAATCATGAGTTTCGGCATTTTTTCTAATGACAAAACATGTCTTTTATGTAGTCACCTATTTTTGCATTGTTATATATGATAACATTATTTATAAGCACAAACACGAAAAATTGTTACCACGATTTTAAAAAAGTTCAGAGCTGCCACAGTGTTATTGTGCATTCCACATATATGCTATGCTATGCTGATATGCTAATGAACAGTAAGTAACTCACCCCGCGCTGATAGATGCACCAAAAGCTCCGGACACCAGACCGTGAGTAGCAAAGTCAGTCTCCATGCCCGCATCACTTTGAACAATAGAAACAACATCAAAATCCGATCACTGCAAAGATTGTTTTAAATCTTAGCTACCAAATATAATATAAAAATATCTTTTTAATAAATCATGAGATTGACACTACAAGTGCAGTTGGGCACAGAACACAGAACGTCAGTTAGATTTTGTTGATGTACGTATTGTGTATGACTGTTTACTAGTATGCCTGTACGTAGATTACAACATAGTCAGAAACACAATGAGCATGTGAGTGACACGAATTACCCGGCTGCCCAGAGCATCACGTTGAAGATAGGTGTCAGTGCTGCGCCTATGGACATCGCTATGACGACAATACCGAGAATGTTAACCCATAGCTTTCTGAAAAAATAACATCACTCAATGAGTGCCGTGTAGCACATTTAATTTCTAAATAACATAAGCACTTTGCGTTTTGTGTTATGTTGTCTTTAAAGTAATGACTTGTTTGCAGCAAAATCCATAGCAACGTACGAATTGTAAACGTTTCGGAACTAAAAGCGTACTTGGGCAGAATGTTGAGGTAGCCATGAGAGAGAAGGGGAGACGGTCCGACCAGGAGCGCGCCGACTGAGAGAACCAGTAGTCCTAACGTCATCATGGTCCTCACAACGTTCTGTAACACCAACAAGTAACCGTTACACAACGCGGAGCAATAACACACTTCTGAGATAGAATTTGTTCCTTGGAGTTCCACATTAGCCAAATACAGATTGGATTGAAGTGGTCAAGTTTTACCTTTTTGTCGGCCAGCCACCCCCAGACCGGCGCACACACGGCGAACACTGCGGCCAGGGGCAGGAAGAACAGCCCGACTTGGGCAGGGGTGACGTTGAACTGGGAACATCAATTACGTTATAATTATTATGCACCACAGATATGCCCGTAACGAAGTTGATATGTTATTTGTTTGAATGAGTTGGATCAGGGACAGCAAGGTCACATGGACCACTTCTGGGTACTGAACTAACGCACACCGAAGCCTACATAACACACGTACATATCATCCACAACACGTGTTACCACCCTTTCGCCATTTTCAACCACAAGCGGCACAATCTAATGTCAAACTGTTCAATAAAGTCTAATGCACAGTCAATTGACATGTTTCATGGGCCATTTTTATACCTTGAGCCATAGTTTACCGTCCGTTCCATAAGAAAGTCCATAAAATATCCTAGTGGATGGTGAAAGAATTGATTTACCTCGTTTACCAAGTACGGTTGAATCACCGGCTCAAGATAGTTGATAACAGCGTAACCTACAACGGTTATCTCACCTACAAAATAAACAACACAGACATGGGAACAGATACATGATACAGTTCTGATTTAAATTGTTACAAAGTAGAAACGTGACGGCAACTAGAGACGGTAGCATGGAGGTTATTGTCAGACCATTTTACCTTGTGTTCGCTTATCCCTTCCAAACTGATTGTCACAAACACAGCAATGAGAATCATATGAGATCAGAGCCGACGGCAGTGACAGCACGGCTCCGTAGAACTGCCGGTAACTGTAACTCTACAACCCTTAAAAGTTTCTGCAACGCTTGGAAAGAACAAAACAGCGAGTGGAATATCGCATTTGTTGCCAATTACATTGCTTTCCTTTGTCATAGGGGTTTTCAAACAAGAAATATATTATATATAAAATAAACATATTATGAAACACTTACAGGCCATAATGACAATTGGGATCTTTAGAAAGTCCAGCAGGGACACGTCCCTTTTCCCTTCCTGTTCATTATCTGTGCAAAAACAGCAATAGCGGTTTAGTGAGTAAAAGTAAAACCACCGAGTGAGCGAAGCGCGGGTCATTAACGTTATTATTCCACTCACCGATTTGTGTCGGGATCAGGGCAGCCAACACCGCACAGCAGCCGAACATCAGACCCCCGACCGCGAAGAACGGCAACTTGAACCCGCCTAGCTGGTGTCATCAAGGTAAATAACATGACATCCACATATGTCTAGAAAAGGAGCCACTTGTATAACTGCAAACTACTAGTAATCAGTCTGATGTACTATGAGTAACTTGTAACTGCAAACTGATCTACTATGAGTTTTTGCAATTTAGTGCGTCAACTGTAGAATATCATTTATCTAGTAGTATGTACACTGCTGACAATTGTCAGTTCCATTTATCATTTATACTTTTCAACATAATTCAGTATTTCGGTATAGATTTAATGACCGATGACACAGTGCGCACCTCTATTGCAGCACATCCTTCCATGATTTTATCACTCTATGAAATGTTGAATGTACAGTTCATGCTAACTACACATGAAACAAGATATCCACATCGTCCAAACCCCACTACAGAAACAGATAGGTTCCTCACGTTATACAGGACACCCCCGATAGGAGGTCCCGCCATCATGCCGAGGCCCATGAAGAGCTCCAGGGTTCCCTGTAGTGGCGAGTGATACTTTGTGGTTACTAGTAATTTTTTTTCTTAAACGTTTCTCCTCAAGGAATTCAGATTACTGCTATTTTCTTCAAATTGCATGCAACGACAATACATTGTACATGGTGGAGCACTAGACAGCAAATCCAGCTGATGCCGTGTTTCACACACTATAAAACACACAGTACAACGCTAAAGTAGCCATAGATACAGGCAATACAGTATAATACTTTATAATAGCTCATCGATTGAAACTGTTGTCTGACGTCTTTGTAAATGTGTGTTTTAAATCGCTTGCAATGATGTTATGTAAACATAGTCCCCACAAGCTACTGTTGCATAATTCCAATGTCATATACCATAATCATACTCACGTTACGGCATTTTCAATCTTCCACAAGTGTATAGGACAAGTATATAGGAACGTCTTTCTTACCAAGACTTTCGCCACATTCTTGGGGAACTCGTGAGTGAGGATGGTTATGGCGGCAGTCTGATTCGCCGCGACGCCCAGAGCTCCCATGGTCCGGATGGCAAAGCAAAATACGATGAACGTCGTTCCTTCCATGTATTCTAAAAACCTGTTAAGACAGAGCAACATACGTATAACATATACAAGAGTATACAAGGCGGTAGAGTTGGGTAAAATTGAGCAACAGCCAGTTGTCTAGAATGTGCATAATCTTTCACACTCTAAATAAGTTTTTTTTACGCTAGCGCTATCTGTTCTGCATTGGCGTACTTCACTAGCCTGGTTACCAGACCTATTATAGCTCCCGAGTCCTACATCCTCTCCGCAAATCTAATACTTCACCAAACTACTGGAAAGAAGGTGTAACTGTTAAGAAAATACAAAGACTTACCCAAACAAAAAAGAGCAGCTCCCGCCCACAAAAACCCCACTGATCAGCATGAACCTCGACCCGATTCTTGTTATCTACGTAACGAAAAGAAGACACGGAAAGATACTGACAAATTTAACGTTTGTGATCTCTAAAAGAAGTGCACAGAAAAAGGCAGAATGATCAACATCAAAAGAGAGAAAGGACTTGATGATATTTTGTCATCTATTTTCCATTAGGTGTATGAAAGCACAAAGAAAATACCATCAGTCCAGATCCATGTATTACTACGTCCGCTAGTGGTTAGACATGTGCTTGTTCAGTGAGACTACTGGCAATACGTAGGACGAATACTCACAAATTTTCCGAAGACCAGCCCCCCTAGAAATTGGACTGCACTAAAACATCCGAACACAAACCCCACTGTAGTCTGCGAGGCCCCTCTCCGCAGAGCCTGGAACATGGAAGACCGGTTTGAGCTGGTTGTTGAGTACACGCGGAATTGTCATGAAACAGGTGCAAAGTTACCAGTGACCTGACCAGAGTCTAGGCAACAAAACCAAACGACACTAACCTGTTGTACTGTCTTCTGAAGTCAATCGACTACTAGTATAACATGTCAAAATCATTTCTAGATCTAATCGTTGTATTCACACAAGCCAAATGCCACAGAGGCGAACCAACAGTTCCTTTCCCATTTAGGGCTGTTACCACTGAGATTTAACAGATTTCTCAGAGAACAGTTCTAGATACATGTATGTGTTATCTTTAAATCATACTTTTATATCTTACATCATATTCCAATTATGACATCAAGAGTCACACTAATCCAACTTTGTTCGCTGTACGGTCGCTCGGCATTTTCGTGTGAAAATGGGCCTTAACAAATATTGACACACACGAATCTAGGCCAGGTAATCTGTCAAGTTGCCTCTCTGACTTGTTATACAGTGGGAAGAGAACCAATGTGCGTATATATATATATGTATATATTGTTGTTGTTAACTCACCTCATCCGGGAAGAACGGAGTAATTATAGCAGAGCAGGCCATCCCTGAGAAGTTCAGAAAGGCTACACAGAGGAATGTCACAATCTGCCGTTTGGATGTGTTCGCACAGCTGAAGCCATTTTCTTCCTTGGCAGTCTCTGTGTCATTGTGAGGAATAACTTCAGGACATCTGTCCGTCACAGTACCGTACGTCACAACCTCCGGGACACGGTGTGTGTCTTGCTGTACGTGTCTGGAGGTGTTCTGCCCGTGGTCGAGCAGCAGACGTGCCGACTCGCTGTCGTCCTGATCTGGTTCCATGTTCCTGTCGTGTACACGGGCTCCTGAGGTCACGATTTGTACTTTGCCCCGCCCTCGGTTTGGTGGAGCAGGTCATCATGACGTCAACATAAGGAGGGTTAAGCACCTTTTATTGCCTCGCTCAGGGCGGCCATGTTTTACTCTCGTCCTTAAATACTAGCAGCAGGACTGCTTTATTTCCACTTCATTAGCTCACAATTTTAATGATACGGAAATTATTTGTACCGTCCCCTGAGCACAAATCAGGTTTGAAAACCCAGCACAGTTTTGTTACGGTCGACAAATTTCCATTTTCCTTTCCTTAACCAAGAACACTACATACTACTAGACACTTCCCATAAGTGTGGATGTATTAATACTATTACAAATAGAAACACAGACAAAAATGGCAAATAAGGTAAAGTCTAATTTTGGTATGATTCAATTGGATGGCATAAGTGTATTATGAAAAATACCGAGTTAGAATTCCTTGATAATAAATAATCAGCATCTTCAAAATTTGGTACATTCTCACATAAAGCTGGGCCTGGTCTCACATAAGCGCACGATTCTCCATACAAGCAGGCCCCACAGATATTTACATAATTCACTGCGGCTCACGCACCTCTACAACACCTGTGTAACAAGATGTAAATGGCTTGTCATCTTTTATATATTCAAAGTTATTGTGAATTTCTGGTATATGCAACATTTGGGATTTTATGTTGATTCTGTACACACACTTGCCCACTGGCTTTCATAAAACAGCATACGAACACAACAGGAAACGGAAGGCTGAAAACAAGGTTCATGGTGGTAGCAGAAAACAACTGAAGGCAGAAAACAAATTAAAGTTGATATATATGGTGGCAGCAATCTCTTCTGGACTGGGCTTGTCGGAGACTCAGGTACACAGAAGCTTCACGCTACTAGCCTCTGACTCTCACCGTCGGTTGAGTTCACGTGGTGGACACTGAAAACGTATGGAAGAAACAAGCTTAGGCTATCGTCGAAGTATGAAGAACATACGTAGTTAACTACCAGATGCAGTCTACACTGTATAAAGTGACGGGGTATAAATTAGTGATGGTACAGTAACATGGCTGAACATTTATTAGAGTACAATGATTCACTCAAACAACATCAACTACATGTAAATTCAACAAGCCCTACCGACGGGTAGTGTGGCAGCCATCATAGATGTAGAAAGCCACTATAACCAGCATCTGCAAGGTAACGAACAGGGGTTAATGTGTTTGTTTTACCAACTGGTATAGCAACGGATAAGAGCTACGTCAAACAGAAAACAATCTCTAAAATCACATATTATTTGTTACATGTATAGGAATGATCAAATAGGGTTCAATGTCATATTTCCTCTTTGTTCAGAAAACTGCATAAGTTCAACGTTAACATATACTCATTGTAAAAAAAAAGCGTAGAAACAACCGTCATTGAACACTGCCACGCCATATCATAGTCTGAGCATGAAAACCAAGTGTGTGTCGTGTTGTGATAACTTGGTACATACATAAAAGACGACAAGCCCTCCAAACGCAGTGGATGTCCACGGGAAGCCAAACCTATCCGCCAGTGCACTGCTTCCCAGTGGGCCCAGCAGGTCCCTGTAATACATAAGTCAACTGCATCAAGAAATAACATTCACACGATTTAACACGAACACCCATCTGAAATTTAAGGAAACGGCACAATCTATAGAATGTACATCACCTATCCATGATGTCCTCATGTCATCTTATGAGGAAAGTCTAACTATTTCGAAAGGTAAGATAGAGTAACTGGGACGGGAGTAGAGTCCCTTTGTGGAGAAATGTTTTCTGGATTTACGAAGTGACAAGAAAGAAAAAACTTACCCGATGGCGAAGAAGGCGCTCATCACGCCCGACACCAGGCCGTACATGGCAAAGTTATTCTCCATGCCTGCGTCACTAATTAGGAAAGAAATCACCATGGTTACCATCGATGTAATCCTCCTGTGGCGATAATTCAGACTATAGAAGGAGAAGCAAGGGAAAATGACTTAGTCCCCGTACATTACATTACTAGCCTGTGAAACCCAAGCTCTTGTCCGGCTCCCTAGATAGTCCGCCACCCAAGAGCTTGTGGCAGATCACGTCGGGGGGTGACGGACTAATTAGGGAGCCGGCGAAAAGCGAGGTTCAGTCAGACACATTACCTGGCCGCCCAAAGCATCATGTTGACGATTGGTGTCATGAACGCTCCGCAAGAGGCTCCGATAACTGCAAGACCGACAATGTTCACCCACTGCGCCCTGTAACCATGTCAGCAAAAACGGATTGTTTAACCTTTAGTAACTACACGTTTTCAAACGTAATAAAACACGGAGTCTAAATAAAGCAAGAATTAATTCTCACTCAAATACATTCAATGATGTAACCCAACACCAGTTACCATGGTGAGAGACGTCAACAAATCAGGTCATTGACCAGGTCAGAGGTCAGTGTTTGGAGAAGAAGAAGAGGAGGAAACTTAGCAAAAACAATATGTTTTCCTTCGGTAAATAAACGGATTCTACTTGTTGGACCAAACCCTACTTCGGTATAATGTTGGCGTAGTCCGTCAGGAGCGGAGACGGTCCGAGAAGGAGAGTTCCCACCGCCGTCACCACCATGCCTAACGGTACCATGATCGGGACACATTTCTGTAAACAACACAAGAAAGGGAGAGGGGTGAAGGAGGCTATTTACATCAGGGCCCATCACCCTTCACTTAACCGCGACGGGGCCGACATCGTCTACCAGATACCTTTGACCCGGTGTTGACGTCACACAATAAGCCACGTGACAAGCATCATTAAGTTAGTCTACTGAGGAAGACCAGAGTGACTAGCTCTAGGTGAGAGAGCATTTTGTGTTGGTTCTAAAGTTTTAACTCTAAACATCTAAGATAAGAAAGGATTAAAGTAGAACAGATGCAATGCCACCTCTGCTATCTGCACTAACAGCACTACGATTAGCATGAACATCTAGACGTTATATTCAGAAGTAAGGCGTTGTTAATCAAGGTTTATCAAAGGAAATGTAGAAGAGACGTACAATCCGAACCACTAGGCCTATAAGACGGGAGGTTACCCTTTTGTCTGCCAGCCAGCCCCAGCCCGGCGCCAGGACGGCGTATAGAGCCGCCCACAGCAGGAACATCAGGCCGATGTGCACAGGGGAGGTGTGGAACTGTCAACATCAGTTAAAACACATTTTAGCTACATAACTATTACAACCGCAAATTCACTTTGAAAGAACACATAAAATTGATATGTGTGCGCTTCTTGCATGGAATGATTGGTATTGATTATATGGAATGTAAAGCTAAGTAACGTTAGTTTACATCTTACCTGATTGATCAAGTACGGCTGAAGTACAGGGTCGATATAGTCCAGCATACAGGCCACCACAACGGCCAAACCGCCTACAGAACCACGCGTAAGACATAACAACGTTACATTGTACTGAAGCCCCCAGTTGAAACAAGATTTTGTAGACCACTAATGATATGAATCTTTATTGCATGTTCTTTCCCAGATGGGCTAAATGCACAAGAGGACATGCAGTATGCAAAACATGAGTATTGCATACTGGAACGCTATATTCTAATGCTAATTGCTAGGAATCTATACATTACAACAATACTATATACTACCTATCATCTACTGTTAGTTGCCCTTTCTTCTCTCTTTTTGAAATATTTGGAAACATAATTACATAGTTTGTCTGCTATATATTCGTTCTTGCATGACAAGCAAATATATCATTGGTGTAGATCTGATCACCATGCTTTTTCGACAGTACTGCTAACTTATAAATCTAAATGTCGGACGTCCACAATGGTCCATACTTACAGGCTATAGGCACAGCTGGGATCTTGAAGAAAAACAGCATATTCACATCTGTTTTGCCCTCCTGTTCATCTGTACAAATACAGTGGTACAATTTGGTCTACATGTACACAAGGCGTGGTAATGTTAATACATGCACTAATTCTTTGTGTAATTGTGTGAAAAGGGTCAATCTCATAGAAAACAACAAAATGTAACTATACTTTACATAATCAAGATCGATAAATCTATTAAATGACAACAACAGTGGCCTACTCGACGTTTCTTTTTCTAGACTATTTTAAAAGTTTGTTAATTACCTGGTTGTGGCGGGACTAGGATCGTCACAAACACACAACAGCACAGCAACAAGAGACCCATGGTTATAAACGGGGTCTTAAAGCCTCCAAGCTGTTCAAATGACAAAACATTTACAAAACATTTAAGTTTTCAAATTACACAAACGCGCAATACAAATACATTTCCGCGTATGTCACTGCTTTCGTAGAGTTACAGGTCGAACAACTATCCTAGATTCCGGATATAAACAAAGCAATAAGCAACCAACGATTATCCATTGGGGATTCATGAAATTGAAAAAGAGAAATGTTGACTTTCTAGCACCCTGCTTACTAACACATAAATGAATGAATGCTTAACACTTACGTCGTACAGCACACCTCCGATGGGCGGCCCGGCCATCAGTCCAAGGCCTGTGAAAATCTCCAGGGTTCCCTGTTAGAAAAGGGATCATAGCTTTTTAAATAAACTGAAACTTTGTGTTGCAAGAGAGTTCAATCTTTTCCAAAATGCTACAAATGAAATTTTAGTTTGGAAAACGCTGCTAGAATTCCCAAAATTTCCACTTTTTCTTCGGGACCTCAATAACTCACCACATACTAAAATTCAAACAAATCCATCAAAACCTAATTTGTCAATTTGTTTCTGTAACTTTATCTATGTATGTCTACGTCTTTATCTATCTACAAATCCATAAAAAGATCGTAAGTTTTACCAGCAAACACGCAGTACCAACATAAAACAGTACCCCCACGGGACGAAGTAATGCCCCCATCTGCCTACCATGACTGTGGCCACGTTGTTAGGGAAGGCGTGTGTGAGGATGGCCGTGCCCGCGGTCTGGAAGGCGGCCACACCCAGGGCCTCCACCGACCGGATGGCGAAGCAGAACACGATGAACGGCGCTCCATCCATGTACTCCAGAAGCCTGGGAAAGAAAAAAAACAGTTGCTACAATACTTTGCTACAATCTTTGGCGTGATTTTAAGCCTTTTTTATCGGGCTTTATTTTTACGACACCCCCCCCAAAAAAAAAACGTTAAAAACTGTGCAAAAAAAAGAAAGCCTGATAAAAAAGCATAAAATTTAGTAAAAACGCACCAAAAAATAAGCCAAAGCAGACATGCAATGTGGTCCAATGACATAAGATACGATTCAGTTTGCTGTTGTAAGACATCGTAATACGTTGTTGAGACTTACCCGAACAACACAGAACAGCTCCCCGCCACAAACACACCGCTGGTCAGCATGAACCTAGACCCTATGGCGGTGATCTGAGGAGAGAAAAACAGAGAAGGAATGAAAAAATAAAAATCTCATCCACCGCTTGGACAATAATTGGCAAAATAAACGTTTGACTGAAGAAGGTAAGAAACAAATACCTGACGCATGTAGACCTCTATGTAACAATTGGTGTATGATCTACCAGAAAATGAATTCGTACTTGTCCACAATACATACTATTCATGACACCATCATAAAGATAAGTTTTGCGATGTGTTTTTCAGAATTGCCCAATGATATGGTTGATACTCACGTATTTTCCGAAGACCAGACCCCCCAGGAAGTTGATGATAGCAAAACATCCGAATATCAGTCCAACCAAAGTCTGCGACGCTCCTCGTTTTAGAGCCTGTAGAGACGTTAGATAGTTAGACTGCCATGACCATACGAATTATTTGACTGGTTTAGTCTTCATCCTAAATGTTTCCAAAAATAAAATACTGTCATTTTGTTGTTGTAACTTTGTCCATCTACGTATGCAAGAAAGAAATCACCGATGAACCAATTTTGCTGACATTCTACTTAGATGGAAAATATATTTGAAAAGACTTAACGTCAAACGATTATTTGAAGGATCACTTAAGATATGCAAAAGAGTGTCTTCATTGTTTGACACGTGCACAGTAAAATGATTCAGAACATCACATCTCATTACTATGAGGTAGTGGTGGGATCAACAGAAAACAGGAACAGGTATAGCCGGTTCACTTACCTCGTCCGGAAAGAACGGAGCGATGACGGAATAGTAACAGAATCCGCAGAAGTTCAGCAAAGCGATACAGACGAAGGACAGGAGTTGTCTTTTGGACGCCCTCCTGCAGCTGAAGCCCCCCTCCTCTGCCGCCGTCTCTGTGTTAGTATCGGCTTCTGTCGTCTGTTCGTCCGTCACACTGCCATACGTCACAACCTCCGGGACACGGTCTGTGTCCAGCTGTACGTGTCTGGAGGCGTTCTGTCCGTCAAGTAAGCGTGATGTCTCGCTGTCGTCCTTCCCGACGTCCGTCATATTAAACTGATCCTTTTCACGTTCTTGAAGTTCTTGTGTTGGTGAAAAATTATTCGGCAAAGTTGGTCCCTATGTGCACTTCGTGACAAGCCTGTAATGTTAACAGGTGGCATAACTTAGAATTAGACGTTTTAGGACACCTGTAACGTTACACCTAGTCACGAAAATGAGGATTTATAACCTCTTCAAAACGACTGATCGTTGTAAAATTTATTTACATCATGTACATGCAAATCATTTGAAGACATAGGCAAATTCTAGGTAGGCAAATCAGCCAACTGTCACCTGCTTTTTGCCTACACTCGTTGTACGTGACCTCACGTCGTACATGGCAACATTATCGGTAACAGGCTCCTGGCCTAGAACAACAAGTTCCGTGCAATGTAACGTTACAACGTACAGCATATGATAAAACCACGCATCTGCTTGGAAATGAAGCGTCCTGATGTCACGACGGGAGTTGCTTGAGGACACGTGAGGACATTGACCCACGGACGAGCTGTCTGTCCGCCGTACGATCGCCACATGGATGCACAGCGCGCCTATCAATATCGCCATGCGTAACCTAAAGATTGTACGACAAAGCCACGATATGTTCCTTACCTGTTTGCTGCGTGATCCTATCCTCTGTTAAAGGTGGAAAAGAATCGATTCAAGCCATAGCGAGGCATCTCTCCTTTATATTCACACATCGGGGGTACCATTGCACAAGCGCCCGCAACTCGCACCCTCCCACCCCACACATGTCCTCGCGGTGACCTCAAAGGCTCGTACGTCACAGTTGACCTTTGAACTACCTATGATGCAAGACCGCACGTTCATGTACAAAATGTAGCGCAATGATATGTGTTACTAGTACTGCTGCGATGATAGCTTTCCAGAATACGCAACTAAGACTACAGATACTTACAGTGTGACGTTACTTCATTGGCAGGTTTAGGCTTGTGACGCTTAAGCTTTAAAACTGAGTTGGAACGAAAGCAGATCCTTGGACGAGTTGGCATGGCCCTCCACCAATCGTTCGACTCGTGGGTAATGGATTATGAAAACGCTGCTCACTACTTGAAGCACATACAGTATATAATATGGTCTATCACTAAGCAAAACAGCATTTTATCATTTATGTGACTATACAAACATGACAAATATAGCCTAAGGAAGTAGGTCATCGCTGCAGTTCCTCATGAGATCGCTAATGGGCTACTACACAGTGCAAATTATGGCGTCACCGCTGCACCTACTCATGCACAATAAGTCAAGTACCTACACTGTAATAAATCAAAGCAATGACAATGTTTTTCTGCTTAGTCGCTGGTGAACGTCGTAACAAACATTCAGTGTGTTTATGTCGTTAAGTCCATGTGAGTGAGGAGCCTTGGACATGTCAGATATCAAAAAGGGAACTTGCCCAACACACAGATTAGGGACCCGGTGTGTTTGTTAAAAAAAATCGACGAGGGTTCGGCAGGATTACACTATATATTAGCTATCAACACCATAAGTACGCTTCGCCTCATTACACCTGCTCCGTCTTGACCAGTATCGTGCCCAACGGTTTACAAGTTTTCAAGCCACGCCCCCTATCTACTCGAAGGGGTTTACAGGTAGTAGAGAGGACTCACACAGTTCATCTACACGCGTGCGTATAACATTTGAACGATGCGGCAATGACGCCAGAGACTGATTCTCGGCGTTTCTCTCCAAATCAGACTTTTGCTACGGCTGGCGTTTTGATACTACTACTAATTGCTATTACGTACTGTTTTCTGAGGCTACTGTTGAATACGAGAAAATGGACAAAAGGTCTTCAGTAAGATCCCATCAGTTCCACCACACGACCTTGGCGACCCTTTAGCGCCCACTAAACACTCTGGCTAATTCTAGGTCGCGCAAAGGGCGCCGAGGCCTGGTGGAAGGGGCGGGTATAAATGATTAACTGTCACCGGTGTCGCAGTTCTTAAAGGCGCGGAAAGTAGAACACGTCTCTTCGCTATAGCTCAGTCACCTGCAAGAAACATGGCCACAGTTCGTATGGCTGCAAGACTCTTTCTAGTGGCAGTGTTCATAGCCGCAGCGTTCGGCAAACCAGGTATCTATCCATTTGTTTTTGTTCGATCAGTGGTTGTGCTTCGCTTTGTTTGTGTCGCGTATTTAAGGTTTCTTTGTTCTGTGTTCTCCTGTCTGCAAATTTAACATAAAGACATGTAAATAGGACCCCCATTTGCTCGTACTTAACATGAAGATAAGAAGTCGATAATTTTCTGATTTTCAATTCTTCCTAGGCAGGTTTTGAAAGGATTTTTACTTCAGATTTACCGTTTGTGATATATCACCCACAGAACTTCACACACACGTGCGCACACACCCTACTCACAAGCACGAGCGAACGTTAGTCTAGCCTGTGTAACTTAAGGGAGAGAAAACAATAGAGCGTCGAGTGTGTTGTGTACGCCCGCCCTACACGTGAGAGAATTTCCCCAAACACGGGTATATGGCATGGTCACAGCGTGCTAAGCACGTGGCTCCCAACAAATCCATATTTCTTGTGACGAAATGGTAGCAGTACGCATGAGTCGACGGTAAAAGCGAGTTAACTGATTGGACTTGTGCGACCATTGATGTTATAATTGGAATACGAAGTGAAGTGTAAGATTATGATCTAAACGACAACAAAACACACAAAACGCAAAACAATCATGGAATTCTTTGAAAACATTTTCTCTAGAAGCAAAATAAGCAGAAACATTGGACTTGGTCCTGTGTAACTGGACTTGGTCCTGTGTAACTGGGAGCAGTGTTGACTTTCTAGGAAGAGGAAATCGACGAACAGCCTCTGTTAATGAATGATTGACTGATATACAAGTGGGTGACGCTGTTCAAATAGGCAGGGCCATTAAGCTTAAGAACGGGGTTAGTTGTAGTTAGTTTAGTTTGATCACCCGTGAAGAAAGATGGCAAGAGTTCACTCGACCGCAGGGTTGTTCCTGACTGTGGTGTTCATAGCCACGTCTTTCGGCAAACCAGGTAATGTTAACGTTCGCCTCAACCTATCTTACTTCTTGGTTTGTAGTTACAGTTTTCTTGTGAATTGGCACTTTCGCACATGGAATGAAGTGAGCATGTCACCAACATTGGCACTGTTTTTAAAGTGCGCTCACTGTTCAGCATGAAATCGACAAGACTACTGGAAGTTTCTTTACTATAACGTGCTGTAGGGAAAAGAAAAAGGGCAAGTGAGGGATTCATGCACCAGCCAATTTCTGTTTACCCTTTTTAGTCCATTGTTTGCGGCAACAACACTCCACCAGGAATGCTTGCCAACTTTTCAAACCCTTCTGCATATTTCTGTGCTATATATCGTGGAAGTGTTTATAAGGCTACCACATAGTACATTGATATATAAGAGGGTGTTTGGCAAACTTTTGGAGCAGTCATGTGTCATAGTAAATTCTACCTTATGACATGTGAAAGGTTCACACGACCAGGCGTATACATGCGACCTATGTAAATTTGATGGAATAACCGAAACGTATGTGATATAATGTGACTACAGAGGAAACATGGAAATGGTTAGTGTAATTTTTTTCAGAAATGTGAATCGTAAAATCATCATAGTCAAACGTATCCGAAAAGTGGAGCGGAACGATTTTTGATTGGCGGAAAAGGGGGCGTTACGCCTCGAGATCAGACAGGCTATCAATTCAACTGGCAGTGGCTATGGTGGCCATGGTGGCTATGCAGTATCCCCATTTTCACCTATTAGTATCCCCGGCCTATTTCCTCCTCTCCCCAAAAACGTCCCCAATACACGCATTTCTAGCTATAGTCACATCACTGCACATTTCTTGAGATTGTTTCTGCCAACTCACCACACAACTGTGAAATTCATACCCCTGGTAGTTTTAGGGGTGCGGTCTTTGCAAAAGGGGCGGGACTGACCAACAAACAGCACAGGTTTAATCAGTCTAGAACAGCGTAAGTCTATTGTGTCGTCGTACGTCAAACATAGCAGTGACTGCACTGAAGCCCATTGTTTGTGTGACGTTTTCTGTCGGCAAGTCAGCAGTATGGAGCACGTCGGCAAAACGTACTGCGCCTGCGCAGAACCCTGTGTTTTTATGCTTTTCGGTGGATTTTTGGTCAACGTTGCATTAGGATTTTGCCTGTTGCAGAGGATATCTTTTCCGACATTACATTTGGAACCTACAGACGAGATGTTAACCTTATATGCGCGAATGTGACCTTATATGAGACGTTCTGCTGAAGTGCTATCTACAATACATTACGGATTACGCGCAGGTGCAGTACGTTCTGCCGACGTGCTGCAGTATGGCTGTCAGTGTCACACGAGAAACAAATGTCATACAATCTTTAACAATTATATTTAAGTTAAAACGGTGTGAGCATGTGCATGTCTTTTTATTTACTTTTCTGTAACAGCCTACGATGACTCTTCTAACGAGGACCATTCGGCGCATCTGCGAGCCCGAAGTGCGCATGCACAGTCAAGGGCAACAGCGCCCACCGACCAGGAGCGCACGCCCGAGTACTGGAGCGACATGGCGCGGGCGTCCCTCGCCGCCGCTCTCCGCCTGCAGACCTTAAACACGAACGTGGCCAAGAACGTGGTGCTGTTCCTGGGAGACGGGATGGGCGTCTCCACGGTAACCACGGCCCGGATCCTGAAGGGCCAAAAGGCGGGAAACCCGGGAGAGGAGGCCGTGTTGGCCATGGACTCTCTACCGTACACCGCCATGTCGAAGGTCAGCGATATGCGAAAATATTTCGTGCCCTTGCGAACGAATTTCCTAAACACAGACTTATGTACTATATATGGTTTAACGTGCATCGCGAATTTTTAGTCACACTAGTACGTCAACCCTCCTCAATTACTCTGAGCACGTGAGTCCTTTGGGACACTTGACTCGAGTGATCAATCGCAATTGCCTGGTAAACGATATCGGCCCCCGTCTCGGCTGGTGGTCCACTGGTGGGCTCTAATACCGATACCCTCGTTTATTCCTCTCAGTATATTCATAGGATTAGGAAGCAAAGTTATGCATAGCCTAAATTTGGGTTTTAGCACTGTAGCAATGTATGGCAATGTTATCCACAATGGCTATTTACTGTATCTTTAGACATGTGTATCACGTTTCCTTTGTAGACCTACAATATCGACGCGCAAGTGCCCGACTCAGCCGGGACTGCCACGGCGTTCCTGTGCGGGGTGAAGGCGGAGAGCGGGGTGGTCGGCGTGGACGGCAAGACACGGTACGGCAACTGCAGTTCCTCCAAGGGTCGCGAGGTGGAGTCCATCATCGTGCACGCAGAGAGAGCAGGTGTGCCCATACTAGAGAAATTACTGTCATGAAAGTTCATCTGTGTTGGTTAAAAACTTTTAAAACTTTTGTTCCAACACAAAGAAATGTTCTCACTTAGTAGAGCGTTCGACGAGTCACTCTGGTCTTCTTCAATAGACTGACCCAGTGAGGCTTGTCACGTGGCTTCTCTGAAGATCTGGTGAACGATATGTGCTTGAAATAACACACTGGCTTTTCTTAAGAGCTTGGACAGATCGATATAAAAGGACACTTTGTTGATCGATGATTTGGTTAAGTTTGTTCTGCCTTTCCGTTTCCAAGGAAAGTCAACAGGAATCGTGACCACTGCCCGGGTGACCCACGCCACGCCGGCGGCGGCCTACGCTCACTCCGCCGCACGCGGCTGGGAGGCCGACAGCGACCTGACCGCCGAGGCCCGGGACAACAACTGCACCGACATCGCCTATCAACTGGTGGAGGAAGCGCCTGATATAGAGGTACCAATACTTGGAAAACATATTGTTTTTGCTGTTTCCTCTTCTTCCGTTCCAAACACAAAAGGTCAATGACAAGAACCAGACGTCTGTCACCATGGTTACTGGTGTTGGGCTACATCATGTTGCAATTTCATAGCAGGAGGGATTTAGACTCCTGTCATTATGTATATGAATCTGTTATATGCGAAGGTAAACATTATGCATTTGCTTTGCAAATGTTACCTTTCTAGTTGAAATTGATTTAACTGGAAATGTTACAGATGGATATTTCACCCTCCAAGATGGCGGACGCTGAATAATCACGTGACCGCAAACACGTCTGCTCATTTGCATATCAGGTTATTATGGGAGGGGGAAGACGGATGTTCACGCCCCGGAGCATGGCGGATCCGGAATCCGGATCCGGAGATCGAGACGACGGCGTGGATCTTATCCAGCGCTGGCAGGACGGAAAATCCGGAACGGCACGCTACGTCTGGAACGGGACGGACTTCAGGGATGTCGACCCGGACTCAACGGATTACCTTCTAGGTCTGCACACTTGTACTGTTACTATTCAGACATGGATTCAACGTTATGTCATATCTACACATATAGTAATTGTTTTGTAAATTTCACTGGTCATTCATTTTGCTGGTACAGTGATAAGCATAGGCATATAAAACGCATACAAATGGACAGTGATTGATGTTGTTATTTAAGTTGATGCAGAGGTCAAAATTATGTATACAGAGGTCTGTTAACTGTTGTTTGTTGTGTGGACAGGTCTGTCAACTATTGTTTGTTGTGTTGACAGGTCTGTTTGTTGTTGTTATTTGTGTAAACAGGTCTGTTTGAGAGGAGTCACATGAAGTACTCTGCTGACCGCACCTCAGACCCGGCCGAGGAGCCGACCATCGCCGACATGACCAGGAAGGCGATACAAATCCTCCAGAAAAACCCGAACGGGTTCTTCCTGCTAGTTGAAGGTTACTGAGTTATCCTATTGTTGTTTTTGTTTTATTGTACAGTATGTGATATCCTGCTATTGGCCTGTCATTGCCTGTGTATTTTTTTCCCTCTCGTGTGCTCATTAAGAACTTCACATAGGCAAGATGTCGCCAGTTCAATGAGGATTCTGGACATGTCACGATCGAACGATCCAATTTTTTGATAACACGAGATCGTGTGTTAGAGTCCTGTATTGCTATAATCAAAATTATTTCTTTTGTCCAGGAGGTCGAATTGACCACGGCCATCACGGGGCCACGGCAGTCAAAGCTCTAGAGGACACCGTGGCGTTTGATGACGCTGTGCAGGTACGTCATTACAATGGGTTAACGTAACGCCACAGTCCTTCCCGGTTGGGAATCAGTTGAACATAGGAGAGTCAGACCCTTAGATTTGTATGCAAGCCAACGACTGACGTGTTGGACAGTACGTGTGTCATGACTGTAATTAATTTTGCAACTTCAGATTTAATAGCTTACAACCTCTAGGTTTAACCACCCATCATGGCTATCATACTTACGTCATGGTCACGTGACTTACGTCATGGTCACGTGGGTGCGAACATCCTGTACTGTTGAGCATACATAACGCCGTCTCCCTCTCTTCACCACAGGTGGCTAAAGACATGCTGAGCACGTCTGACAGCCTGATTGTGGTGACAGCGGACCACTCCCACACACTGGCGTTTGCGGGCTACCCTGACAGGGGACATCCCATATTTGGTATGGTTCAACTCCATATTTGGTATGGTTCAACTCCATATTTGGTATGGTTCAACTCCATATTTGAGATAGTTCAACTCCATATTTGGTATGGTTTAACTTCATATTTTGTTTGGGGACACCCAATGTTCGGGACGATTATAAGACTGTATACGGGTGTCGGGTGTGCATGCACGTCTCCGGATCCGCAATTCCTAACATACCAAATGTATCACTGCTATTTTTGCGTTGTGTGTTAGTCCGTTCACCAGTCTCTCTGTGTGTACACAATTTGTTGAAGGCTGCCTGATCTCTGATTACCACCACGTTCATCACCGTTGCAGGTAAAAACGTGTACAGATACTCCACGCCTGACAACGACTGGGACGGTCTGCCGTACACCACCCTGCTGTACGGGAACGGCGCCGGGTACGGACTGGAGGAGACTACCCGGGGGAACGACACGCACGTCACACGGCAGAACATCACCGACGTCAATACAGGTACGGGCTCTCTGGAGTGTGGGGTCGTGTGGCGTGTGGCGGTTCGACTCAGACTCAGAACCAAGAGCTCCCGGGTTCGAGTCTTACCATGCCACCGATCTTGTGCCCTGGAGAAAGGCACTTTACACGACTTTTCCTCACTTAACGACATGTTAAAATGAGTATTGTCCTGTCCTGTATTTGTCCTCGAGCCTCTGCGTTGATGGCGGAATGAAACAAGTTGAAGAAAATTTGTGCCTTTACCATGTCTAGTCATGAAATGTTGGAATATAAAAAAACTCTCTGGATCTCCGCCCCTGAGGCGTCGACAAAAAGAGAACATTAGCGAACAACCAACATGCCCAGCCTTGAACATTTTCCAAATAACGTTTCTGACTCGAAACCTGGTTTCTTTCTTGTGTAAAACAGAATACTCTACAAGCAGAGGTTGGCCAGCTTTTTTTCTGTCGCTACCGTGAGGGCTTCTGTACATTAAGTATTACAGAAATTGAAGTCAGAACTCTGTCTATCATGTCCAGCGGATAAGGAGTACAGACAACAGAGCGCCGTCCCGCTCCGGAGTGAGACACACGCGGGGGAAGACGTCATCATCATGGCGGACGGACCCATGGCACACCTGTTCCACGGCGTGCAGGTCAGGACAGTACAGCTTCAGTTGTAGTGTAGATGAACTTGCACACTAACGTCTGAATGGTTTTCTGACACTGTTGATAGATTTGCAATTTGAATATTTGGAGGCATGCAAAAATAGTTTTCTATAAAGTTTGTTCAAAGTGCAATAGCAATACCGTGTATAGCTGTGACTTTGCCAGGTCCGGGAATTATGTGCCGTTTTCAACGTCAAAGACAAGGGTAAGGCGAGATAAAGTTACACTGTCTGCTCTTTTATATGTCTTTTCTAAGTTCCTAAAGGTATAATACAGAAAAGAAGTATGGGATGCCAGCAACGCGATGTTTTTTGCTGCTTCGACTCGATTGCTTATTCAGCACCAAGGACATGGACACTGGTGAACTGGTTTTGATTTCATGTAAAAAATCGTTTCTTCTGTTTTCCTCGCAGGAGCAACACTACATCGCCCATGTGATGATGTACGCAGCCTGTCTGGGGGAGTACACCGACCACTGTGACAAACCGGCCACGCCTAAACCCGTCAGGGACGCAGGGACTGCCGCTAGGGGGAGCCTCTACACTGTCGGCTTGACTGCAGTTCTTTGCGGGCTACAGATGCTGGCGGGCACGCGTTTCTAGTTCTGGTGCTGACGAGCTGTAGTGTTGTGTGTGTGTGTGCGTGTGTGTGGTGGGGGGGGGGTGATTCCAGGGACCAGATAATCTCCAAGCAGATGTTGGGTGGAGGATCATAACTTTTTCTGACTATCGAGCTTCTATGACAGCAATTCCGGTGATAGAACAAGTCGTACCCAGGCAAATTGTTCTGGAACATCACAGCTTAAAAAGCATTCATCAGATATCGGTGTACAAAGAGTTTGTATGAGAGCCATGTGCACCTGTTGTTGGCTGTGCCTGGAGCTGAAAGAAATCTTCAAAGCAAAGTTCTGTCCTGGGTGCTGATCTCTGTGCGCGCCTGTTTGTACCGGTACACTGCAGGAGAAAAATTCCGGCTTCGGCACGGACACACTAAGCAATACATACATGTATGTCATGTGTGCGATGGGAGCAACGTATGAAACGTCAATTTTGATCTATAATATGACCACACACGAGAATAAACTATGTAAGTTCATGTAAATAGATAGAAGAAATTTTAAAGACTTTAGATAGAATTTACCATTATTGTGAGAATTTTAGTACTAGAATTTTTTTTCTAAATCAGACAATACAATACGGTACATGTTTCCTTCCTATGCAGATGTGGTAGGCGGGAAAACTTTTGTCTTGCAGCACGGCGTCGATGAAAAACGCCTCATAACTATAGGTTTCAGTAGGGGTAAGAAACTGGGGTTTGCCCCTTAGATTTTGGGTCTCTTGGCGGCTTGTTATGGTACTGCATGCAGCGGAACTTCGAGTTTTTGACATTTTCGTTTATATATTTTTGAAGGAGCGTATTGGTGAGAGAACGCACGTGTAAATAACCTGTCGTGGGTAGCTTGACGCGACCTGTTTCCGTCTTCGCCGAAAAAATTACAAAATATGATACTAGTACTGCTAGGATGTGTAAAATCTCTAGTTTCTTCTTTTAGGCCATGTTGATTTGATTATATGGATGACATCCTCTGGGAACCCCAAAACTGATGCGAGCGTGCGAATAAAAAAAAAGTTTTGCAAAAAAAAAGTTGCTTTCACTATGAAATCTACGTGGTCATGAAGGTTGAACTAATGGCACAGAATATGTTATGGCGAATAATCTACTCTTCGAATTCATTTCTTAACATTTTTGTCTTTTTTCCTTTGATTTTGGCATTCTACGACATTGGTATCGTTTCTAAATGTTTTCCTTGCAACTCATGGTATATTTTTGCTCATTTAGCAACTGTTTTGCACGATTTACAGTATGGTTGAAAACTTTTTTGTTTTTTGGAAACGGCCGAAAATTCATGCGCGCGCGGATGTCATCCATATAATCAAATCAACATGGCCTTATCAGTGCAAGTCAGACAGGTAACCTACTGGGGACGTCTTGTTAAAAACAACTGCCCCCGCTACACAAGGCTAAAGGTTATACAACTTATAGTCTACGGAGATGCCCTCAAGGCGAATACCACGTTGGGCGAGTTCGTCTATGGACAGGATCGTCAACACTGACGCCAAGAGACAAACAGATTTGCGGTGAAATATTTGTGTCACAAGCCTTATGATTCATACACTAACTCACTCCATCCCGTACTCCGTGCCAAGTGGCAAGTTGAATTGATTAATTTTTTTTCAATGAAACCTTTTCGCCATCTTGGATTGAACTGTACAACGTTACCTTTTAGAAAGGACACAGATTCAAGTACGATAAAGGCAAAATTTAAGAACTTTGTCCCTGAAATCACCAAATCTACTTATAAAATCTTATGAGCTCCTGTTCCCCTGCCAAGTCGGTAAGCAACCGACCAATCAACCAACCAACCAACCAATCAACCAACCAACCAACCAACCAACCAACCAACCAACCAACCAACCAACCAACCAACCAACCAACCAACCAACCAACAAACAAACAAACAAACAAACAACAAATACAAAAACAACCAACCAACAAACAACCAAGCGAACAACCAAGCAACCAATCAAAATGCTGTCAGAATAACGCTGCGTCTTTAATTGGCAGAGATAATTTGTTTTTAACAAAACCAGTCACCTGCACTAACTTTTCTAACATTGTGACCTCTGACGTTTCAAGCCTTCCCCTAATTAACGTCAACCCCACAGTGTTAATCATATATCAACATGAACTACATACAATGGAGAATTCTAAATGACGTATGAAGATTGACGTGTATCTTGACCAATAGTGACGCTCCTAGATCATATCGTACAGGTCTATTCCTGGGACTACATGATGTTTAGCGGAAAAGTAGGCGTTACATGCCTATTCAGGATGAAGAGATACAAAAACAAAGGCGATATCTCCGCCCCTAGACCTTACCCGTGGCGTGGTTTAAATCTGCCCAGGCCAGGCCCGGTGTTCTGTGCAGGGTCCAGTTGCGGGGAGGTGACACAGAAAAGCGCACTTGGTCAATTGCACGGAGCGTTTGAAAAAAAGCTGTGTATTTTTAAATTCTTTGCCAATGATGGATGCGGAGAAGCTGCTCGGAGTCGGCCACGACGGCTCGCACCGGCACCGTGAGCGTGGCCCCGGACCTCCCGGTTCCCTCGTCACGGTGCTCTCGGTGGCGGCGGCTCTCGTGTTGGTCGTGTCGCTGGTCGCCGTCATGCAGGGCAGGGCGCAAGTTACGAGTCTCGAGATCGAGCTATCTTCCCTCAAGATCCAGCTGGAAGTCGAGCGGGAAGAAAAGAGCCGTACTGACATAGAGGTATTGAACCTCAAGGAACGACTTCTTAAAAGGGAGGAGGAAAAGGACGTAGCTGCCTTAAAAGAACGTCTGGCAAAACTTGAGAGCAAGATTCAAGGCGATGATGATCTGGGGCAAAGCCTAAGCTTCAGTACAAACGAAGAGGTAGGGATCGACACATAAACTTCGCCATTAATCAATGCAAACACAAAATGGTCTAGTTAGAGTCATTTTAGCTAACTACTGATTTTTGCACTACGTTCAATGCTTATACACTATTAAACCTCGTTGCTACGGTTAAAAAATGACTAAAAATCGTGATTGAACTGTCACTAGATTTGTAGGTTAACATCGCTATATTGTGATATTGAATGTTGGAAAATGCTGACCATTGCGAGGTCTAGTCTAGAGCTACAAAGAGTAGCTTTTGACGGATAGCCATGTCACTACCGAGATTTTTGAAAATATTTGTTTCCTGTTCATCAAGTTTTCGCCGTCACAGGTTAAAGGTTTTAAATTAAAGCAGATGTTGGGTGGGAAACCGCACTGACAAACTTGTCCGACAGCTGTCTCAAACAGTGCTCCGCCGGAGGGCGAATAGTCCGGTTGCCAAACCCCCGATTTTTGAAGAACCTTGCAATGCGGTCCATACAAAGTTTTTTTGTTGTTTCTATATCTCTGAGGTGTGCTCTTTCAGAATCTGAATGATGCCACTCTGTCATCCTTGGGCAATTCGCACAATATGCAAATTAAGGTGGCCATTACTGAAACTCCAGTTTTCGTCAATATCTCAGTAACTACTCATGGTATCAGAATAATTTTGGTGTCTATCCCCATCTTTTGAGGGAAAACGAATTAAATCAAGCCATTTCAGTAAAGATAGAACCATTATTTTTTGCTACATATGCAAATTTGGGCCTTGTCTGTTATTGACGCACCTGGCTGCCAGCAAGGAGGGGTCCTAATTCCGACCCATGTTCCATGCAAACGCACATGCCTTGGTATAGTTTATCTGACCCAAAACCTGTTCAATATTGAAAGACAAGTTTACCTAAGTCTAGATGGCAGACGTCTTCTTGCATGAAACGCCGCTTGCGTATGATTGTAGACACTGGCTGTTGGTTAGCTCTGGCTCATATATCTGTGTTGGGTATGAAGTCCTGTCGTCTGATGCTTAAGATCTTCCTCACGCATTCACTATCAGAAGCATGCAGTGATTCCAGTCTCTTTTCTCTTTTCTTGGCTGATTTCCACATAGTAGGTTTCAAAGTCAAGCTGGTTGAAGGCTGCTGAGGCCTTTCCAAGTCTACAGTCTAGCTCATTGTCCATCTGTCCTTTGTTGTTGGTGGAGCTCCCAAGGTAGGTGAAGTTCTCCGCCACTTTCAATTTGTTCTCGTCAATGGTCACACTTCTAAGAGGAGCGTGTGTCCCTATCAGCATGTTAATTGATGGCCCTGATGCTGAGCCCAATGCTGCCTGCAGACGGACTATGTTGGTCACTAGGGGTTGGAGATCTCTGGTGTTTTCCGCTATGTCGTCTGCAAAGTCAAGGTCGGCAAACTTTGTCTCTGGAACCCACTTTACCCCCCTTTTCTCCTGTTGCTTCCCAAGTACCCAGTCGATAGCCGGGAAAGAGGATCTGTGACAGGACACAACCTTGGAGGATCCGTCTTCAAACCACCAGCTATCTAGATTCCTTCAACCGTCCGTACACAACACTTCGAGTTTCAGTATATCTGTTTAACTGCATACATAAGTTTACTTGGCAGTCCATAACTGTACACGATAAAGAGGGACTTTAGATGCTATCAAACGCCTTGCAGAAATAAATGAATCTGATAGCTATAATTAAAAGGGGTTTGCAGTTCAGCACATTTCCTCCACCGCAGGGTGAAGATCTGCTCAGCACAGGATCTCTTTGAGCGAAAGCTAGCTTGTTGCTCGCAGCTCCCAGAAGACCTTGCCTACTGCATCTTTCATGCGGTTCAGGAGGCATTTGGCATACACCTTCACTTGTATAAAAAAGAATTGTCACTCCCCTTTAAAGTTATCACATTCATTCAGGTTTCCCTTCTTTGGAATACACACTTTAAGCCTAATGGTATGTCACAATTCAAGAAAGGGGCCCGCTCGGCTCGTTTTTGGCCTGTGTTTTGGCACTACCGAATTCGGAACGGGACCTGGAAGGCAATAGGCGGGGTTCCCGACGGCTGCCGGCCTATTTTTTTGGTCCCGCGACGTCGCCAAATTGATTTGACTCAACTTAAAGTCACTTCAGGCCCCGGCGGGCAAGGTACGCCGAAGCGACCCCGTAACCTCACCGGACCAAACCGTAACCTAGCCGCCGGGTCACGCACAGGCACCTGTCCAAGATTATGAAGTCACGTGTGTTGTTCTGTGCTTGAATTGTTCAGAAGAAGATAGTTATAGACAATATAGAGGGTAATGTGCTGTTCTCGACATAGTTACATCATAAGTCAGTCATAGTGACCATACACGGGTCTGCGCATCAACCAGCAGGGCCGAACCAACCATACCAGCCACAGGCGTACCAGTCTGGGACCTGCCAGGATCGCCCCTTGACCCCGCCAGGGACCCTGTAGCTACCCGGCCGGAATGCAAGAGCTAGTCGGCACCCTATTGCATCCCGCACAGGTCTGGCAGAAGACTGACTGGGCACCGGACGGGTCCCCAACAAAAACCGGTCGTCAAGGGGACCAAAATTTTGTGAATTTTACATAGAAGCCGCCTCAGCGCCCCGACAGGGAGCCGTAAAGGAAAATTCAATTGTAACCCTGACAGCCGGTGTACGCTCGGCTTCATGACGCCGGCCGGCGTCTACACCGAGAACATGCCGAGCAGGCCCCGTTTCACATGTGACTCCAGCTGAACTACTGATCCGTTCTTCCAGTCCTCCAGCACTTCCCAGTGATCGCCGTTGAATGCCAGCTTTATTCCAGGGAAGGCGTACTAGGGAAGACGGCTATGGTTCTATTAAAGCGTTTGCGATGTACGTCGATCAGAAAAGCATCCATCTCACAACACAGTCACCCTCGGCTTTCAGCATCTCTGAAGTGATGCCATTCATGCCTGGTGACTGACTTCAGCTTCGGAGATGTCCTCGATCTCAACAGGTAATGGGTGTAGGTGTTCATCAAAGACTAATGCTACTGAGGTATGGCTTGAGCGGTTTAAGACTTTTTGAAAAGTATTCTGCCCACCTGACAAGCTTGTCCTCCCCCTAAGACAGTGGTAGGGTCCCATCCTCCGCCTTAATTAGGACTGTGCACTTTTGAGCGGCCGCCGGTCATCTTCCTGGAGATCTGTTAAGCTTTTGTCCCAATTGTAAAAAGAAAAGTCCCTGGCGGGTAGTTCCCGGGCTGTTTTTGACACTTTCAGCCGTGGGACACCCCGCGGCTACCGGGCTATTTTTCTTTGGCCTGTCCGGGACTCAAGAAGAATTCAACTCAAATTCTACGCGGGCCATGCTGACATAAAATTCAGGACGTCAAGTTAGCGCTTTATTCTGCATGTACACAGACGCTGGTAAGGCACAGGTGTGAGCTAATGAAGGGTCTAATATTTTTTTGAACAGATTGTATCATTTATTAACATTCCTATCAGTGTTCAGAGGTACAGGCGCCCATGCTATATACTGGTTAGTTTTTGCATAATTTGCATTAGATTTTGGTGTGATCAATACTGGGATGGTTTAGTCTAAATATCTAGCCTTCAAAACATGTGTATAGTACAAATGTATGTGTATTGTATCAAAAGTATTGTTGATACCATGAGATTTATTGAGATATTGACGAAAAACAGATTTTCAGTAATGGCGGCCTAAATTTTCAAATTAAGCACAAAAATATCTATTTGATCTCCACTGAAATGGCCTATCCTCAATAGTTATTCCAAAAACATGGGGAAAGACACCAAATATATTATGATATCATATGTAGTTACTGAGATATTGACGGAAAACAGATTTTCAGTAATGGCCACCTTGATTTGCCTATTGTGCGGCTTTAATTTGCATATTCAGCACAAAAAAAACTGGTTTGATCTTTACTGAAATGGCTTAATTCCATTCGTTATCCCTCAAAACATGGGGATAGACACCAAAATTATTCTGATACCATGAGTAGTTCCTGAGATATTGACGAAAAACAGATTTTCAGTAATGGCCGCCCTAATTTGCATATTGCGCGGCCCAAATTTGAATATTTAGCAAAAAATAATGGTTCTAACTTTACTGAAATGGCTTAATTTAACTCGTTATCCCTCAAAAGATGGGGATAGACACCAAAATTATTCTGATACCATGAGTAGTTACTGAGATATTGACGAAAACTGGAGTTTCAGTAATGGCAACCTTAATTTGCATATTGTGCGAATTGCCCAAGGATGACAGAGTGGCATCATTCAGATTCTGAAAGAGCACACCTCAGAGATATAGAAACAACAAAAAAACTTTGTATGGACCGCATTGCACGCTTATCGGTCTCTGCCACCAGACTAGAAATAGATAATCATTCTCTGACGTAGTTTGTCCCCTCTACGATGATTGAATTATGCATGTCACAGAACAAACTCAATAGCTACTACACACAACACTTTAAGGCCCGGTCACACTGGCCGAACTTTGCCAGAGCGTTCCTTTGGTATGGACGGGGTCCGAATTTTGACAACGCTCGTCACCGCGCCCAAAATGTGGGGGAAAAAATGAAAACACGGGCGTTGGCTTAGCGGTGCACCGCTGGAGCCGGCGTTGCTTTAGCGTTGGTTTAGCGGTGACGCGAGCGTTGGTATAGCGGCGTTCTGCGCATGCGGTTAAAGGCCCGGTCACACTGGCCGAACTTTGCTGGAGCGTTCCTTTAACGGTAAAGACGGGGGCCGAATTTTGACAACGCTCGTCACCGCTCCGACACCTCTATACCAACGCCAAACCAAAGTTCATTGCCGACATGGATCGCTGCTTCAACGCCCGACACCGTTCCAGCAACCCCGTGTCCGCTCGTAAAACGCTTGCAACCGCTCCAGCGAAGTTTGTGCGACGTTTAATCGCCGCCCGGGCAACGCTGGCGAAGCAGCGGTGGTCCAGCGTTCAAGATTTCTGCTTTGGCCTAGCGGACCCAAGCGTCCACGAACTTGCGTCTAGCGATGCCAAACTTTGACTGGGCGTTGGTGGAGCGGGGGTGAACTTTGCCGTGGCGGAAAATTGCCCCCTCCTCACCGCTCGCAATATTTTGTGCAGCTCAAAACTTTCGGAGCGGTAGGAGGGCCCCTCCAGAAACATCAGCGGTGGCCGGGCGTACACGGCGTTGCTTTAACGGGGGCCAACTTCTGTTTAACGGTGGTGAACGGTTTCGAGCGGTGATGAATTTTATTCACCGTTCAAGGAACGCTCCAGCAAAGTTCGCCCAGTGTGACCGGGGCTTTAACGACCCACATGCATTTCAATGAACTGTCCGCCTGTCGTATTTTCAAAATCACTGACCACAGATTGGTAGGAATTGCTATTGAATTAATATTGAATAGTATTCACCGTTTCTTGGTTTCTCTTTTGCTGTAGTTGGAGTTGTCAGACAATAGTGACATAGGATCAAACCACGATGATGGTGATGACGTAGATCAAGATGATACCAGGGACACCGACACCCCCTGGCAACTTTGGGATGAACTGCACGACAGGGCAAAGCGATCAAGCGGTGCGTGTTTATCAAAAGATGTTGGACCTTAATCTTAATCTTAATGTTGGTGGGGATCAAGACAAAAAAAACGGCCATATATAAAAAGGTAACGATCATTCCCCCACAACCTCTGCTTGGAGAGTAATTGGACCTGGCTTCATATTCGCAACATAGAAAAACGTTCATTCCATGATATTAGCTCAGACAGAGTGCAACATGTATGCACTTTTGTTTTACGATAAAAATTGTTGTTAGCAGTTATCATATAGATCTTCATTTTTTGAGACGTCCTCAGGGGACGGCGCATTAGTATAGTACTGCGGCCGGTTTGCTCTTTTGCCACAGAGAGAAGGTTTCCGAGCGCGGAAACCTTCTCTCCGTGGCAAAAGTCCCTCGGCAGCAAATCGTCCCTCGCGGCGGCATATTACTCGCGTCGCTCACAGAAAAAATTACTTACGCCCACGCCCAAAAAGACTGCGAAGGAGGCTACTCCAGCTCGAACTATACAACGGATGTTGTAGGTACATGTAGGTGAACCAGGTATTTTTTTTTTAATCTGAACGTCACTTTGACAGGACATTGTTCTAATCGTACGTCTTTTCCCCTCTAAAAGTGTCCACGAATACTGACAGCGATGTGTACAACGAGAGGCGCCGAGAACAGGTTGAGAACGAGCGCACGCCCGAGTACTGGAGCGACATGGCGCGGGCGTCCCTCTCCGCCGCTCTCCGCCTGCAGACCTTAAACACGAACGTGGCCAAGAACGTGGTGCTGTTCCTGGGAGACGGGATGGGCGTCTCCACGGTAACCACGGCCCGGATCCTGAAGGGACAAAAGGCGGGAAACCCGGGAGAGGAGACCGTGTTGGCCATGGACTCACTACCGTACACCGCCATGTCGAAGGTCAGCGATACCGTATTGTACCATGTGACGTAGTGTGCACAGCTCAGATATTTGACTGTTTGTCAACGTAATAACTTCACAACACAACAAGCAATTTTGAATATTAATTGATTAAGTGATTTTATAACAACAGAAGTCCAAATTGTGGAACATGCATGCAAACATAAATAAATCTATCAAACATATTGGGACACTTACACCTTCCTATAAAGTATGCCACTTTATTTGTAATGTTTCTGAAATACAAATAAATTTGCTCTTTATTTTCAGACGTACAGCATTGACCGACAGGTTCCAGAGTCATCTGCATGTGCCACGGCGTTCCTCTGTGGCGTCAAGACCAACCGAGGACTGGTCGGGCTGGACGGGCGAGCGACGTCCAAAAACTGTAGTTCCGCCAAGGGTCACGAGGTGGCGTCCATTCTCGTGCACGCAGAGAGAGCAGGTAGGCAAGCTACTAGTAACCTGTTGTCAGTCCCCACCAGAGAAAGCAGGCAAGTTGATAGTAATTCTTTGTCATGATTACTCATTCAAATCGCTTGTTGGTTGGTTGGTTGGTTGGTTAATTGGTTTGATCGTTTTTATGGTCATCGCCACTTCAAACGTAGTGACATTCATGATAAAACGCAACAAAACCCAATACAACAATGTCTATCTGTCATCTTTAGGGAAGTCGACAGGAATCGTCACCACCACCCGGGTTACCCACGCCACGCCGGCGGCGGCCTACGCTCACTCCGCCGCACGCGGCTGGGAGGCCGACAACAAGCTGACCGCCGAGGCCCGGGACAACAACTGCACCGACATCGCCTATCAACTGGTTGAAGAAGCGCCCGATATAGAGGTACGAACTGTCCCTCTTTTCCCTCAGAATGCGAGCTCACACAGGGTCTGGTCTGTTCGCTCGCTCGGTAGTGTATTGTAGTTGTGTATCAGTACATGATCGGTACATACTCGGAACCAGAGGTTCAGTAAGTTGCTGCTTCAGTAAGTTTGATGCTGTGTATTTCAGGTGATATTAGGAGGAGGCCGTCAGGCCTTTCTAACAAACAACATGGCGGACCCTGAAGACGGGACGAGGGGACATAGGACCGACAGCAGGGATCTGATCCGCCGATGGCTGGACAGAAAAACCGGCCCGGCCCGGTACGTCTGGAACCAGACGGAATTCAACAGTGTAGATCCGGAGTCAGTGGATTATCTCCTCGGTGAGAAAAGTTGTTTCATAAGGCACGTTCACATCTGTCGTAGGATATTTGTTGCCATCAACGTAATGTGACTAGCCTTTTCCGTCACTTTGATTCTCCACCGACACGACTAGTACTTGGAATGAAACCTTGTCTGTGTTGGTAGAATATCCACAGTTGCAAAATTTAAGCTTAACATAGGTCCAACACAACAGAGCGGACGGTGGTAGATTCCATCTTGACGCCACTCTTGACGCCATCATGAATCCGGAAAGTCAGCGCAATTGATCAGTCATTTGATGAAGGTTGATGGGATCGACTGAAAACTCATAATGAGTGTTTCTGGTTTGCTCGAACTAGGCTTGAATTTTGCGACTTAAAACTAGTTCTTGTCTGCACAGGTCTGTTTGAACCAAACCACATGCGGTACTCCGTAGACCGGCCTAACGACACGGCAGGGGAGCCCAGTCTGGCTGACATGACCAGGAAGGCGATACAAATCCTGCAGAAGAACCAGAAGGGATTCTTCCTGCTGGTGGAGGGTAGGTCATAACGCGGTGTCATTTTGTTGTGTGCAACATTCATGAGTATTGCATGGCCATCTTGGTATGAATTTTCTTAGTGTTTGACCAGGTTCTATTTATTCGAGTATTCAACCACTTTGCTTGATGGGATCAAACATTCAAGAGATTTACGATATGAGTTTGTTACTATGTTTTCCAGGAGGTCGAATTGACCACGCCCACCACTCATCCAAGGCGGTCAAGGCTCTAGAGGACACCCTGGCGTTTGATGACGCTGTGCAGGTAAGGAGGGTAATACGTGTGTGTTTTTAATGGCTCAATTCCTCATAACAATCATGCTAATAAACAATCTCTCAAGTCACGTCGATGAAGGTTAGACATCTATGTAATGATATACTCAAGGAAATCGTTACTCAATCATTTAAAAATCCACCCAGGTGCTTGAGTAACAAATTCTATTGTGTATGTATCTCAAGTGGTACATGTATATGCTTCCTTAAATGGCCACATAGTGTTAAGGTACAATGTAAGAAGGTATCCCTGTCAGCTCTATAACGTTCTTCCTATCCCCGGTGTCACAGGTGGCTAAAGACATGCTGAGCACGTCTGACAGCCTGATTGTGGTGACGGCGGACCACTCCCACACACTGGCGTTTGCGGGCGACCCTGACAGGGGACATCCCATATTTGGTATGGTGCAACTCCATATCTGGTATGGTGCAACTCCATATTTGGTATGGTTCAACTCCATATTTGGTATGGTTCAACTCCATATTTGGTATGGTTCAACCCCATATTTGGTATGATTACAAACCATATTTGGTAGGGTAGACCCATATCACATCCAACAAAGTTAGACATTAGCAAAACTATACGTAGAGTTTATATGTATACATGTATATATATATACATTTTATTCATCAAAACATAAAAACATAACAAAGACAGTGTGGAGCTGCACTCAAGTTAACAACGTATATTAACAGCGCCACAGAGTTTATATATGCAGTGAAACAACATATCAGAAGTGGACACAGATCCACATTGCCGTTTTCAGGGAAATTGGAGACCTCCAGGGTACTAGACGACCTACCGTACACGACCCTGCTATACGGCACCGGTCCAGGACACAACATCAACGGCAACCGGCATAACATTACAGATGTCGACACAGGTACAAGCCTTTTCTTGTTGGGTCATGTTTTTTTCATGCTGTTGATAACCGTAGGGTAAATTGGATACTAACAACCAAGTACAATGTAGTACAAATTCATTTGCTGAAAATAGCATACAAAGGCATTTTTCGTCTTGAAGACTTGGTGATCATCTTCATGTACTTCTAGGATATAACTTTTCCGATAACTAGATGCTATGAAAATTGTCAGTGTTTGTTCCCATTGTATTTACCAAGAACTATCGTAGAGTGGAACTTGTCATCACACTAGAAAGCTTTTAAAGAACTGCAGCAATTAAATGTGCAAAGATTGTGTGCCTGCGGTTATACCGGCTATACCGATACAGAACTACTGGTATCCTTACAGCGGATAAGGAGTACAGACAACAGAGCGCCGTTCCAATGCGAACGGAGACGCACGGAGGTGATGACGTCATCATCATGGCGGACGGACCCATGGCACACCTGTTCCACGGCGTGCAGGTCAGGACAGTACAGCTTCAGTTGTAGTGTAGATGAAGTTGCACACTAACGTCTGAATGGTTTTCTGGCACTGTTGATAGATTTGCAATTTGAATATTTGGAGGCATGCAAAAATAGTTTTCTATAAAGTTTGTTCAAAGTGCAATAGCAATACCGTGTATAGCTGTGACTTTGCCAGGTCCGGGAATTATGTGCCGTTTTCAAAGTCAAAGACAAGGGTAAGGCGAGATAAAGTTACTCTGTCTGCTCTTTTTTATGTCTTTTCTAAGTTCCTAAAGGTATAATACAGAAAAGAAGTATGGGATGCCAGCAACGCGATGTTTTTTGCTGCTTCGACTCGATTGCTTATTCAGCACCAAGGACATGGACACTGGTGAACTGGTTTTGATTTCATGTAAAAAATAATTTCTTCTGTTTTCCTCGCAGGAGCAACACTACATCGCCCATGTGATGATGTACGCAGCCTGTCTGGGGGAGTATACCGACCACTGTGACAAACCGGCCACGCCCAAACCTGTCAGGGATGCAGGGACTGCCGCTAGGGGGAGCCTCTACACTGTCGGCTTGACTTCAGTTCTTTGCGGGCTACAGATGCTGGCGGGCACGCGTTTCTAGTTCTGGTGCTGACGAGCTGAAGTGTTGTGTCTCTGTGTGTGTGGGGGGGGGTGATTCCGGGGACGGGTAATCTCCAAGCAGATGTTGGGTGGAGGATTGTAACGTTTTCTGACTATCGAGCTTCTATGACAGCAACCCACCCAGAAAACGTTCCTCAGCCCCAACATCTGCTTAGAGATTAGTTTGAAGTCTATTGACAGCTCAAAGTTCATTCCCAATGGGCAATTGTCCATTTATTTGGACTCGTGTCACAGATACAGAAGATACATGTACCAACTACGAAATTATACCGTTAGCTCTTTTTAATGATCACTATTGTTACCCTCTTTAGTCTATATATAGTTTTTCCATCGATTCTGCTTCTGGGAATGATAGAAGGTATCGGGACAATTTTATTGTAATTATTGAAAAATAAAATCTTTTCTGAATACTAGCGTATTACCCTAACATATGGTGAAATATTTTTACTATCACTGCATCCGATCTGTACTGTAGATTTGAGCATACCCTTGGTGTTTTTCTATGTTTGTTATTATCTTCGTTTTCATGTGTGTAACAGTTGTACTGTCACAAGGAAAAATGCCACACAGGTATTGTATGTCCAGCTATCACTACAAGTATCTGATTCAGCTACAGATTATATCGATTAAAAAACTTTTCTATCGCCTGTACATGTATATATGACGTGAGGAAAAACGTTACCACTGTTGAATCTCCACACCAGCCTGTGTACATCGACACATGGCATGTGAGAACAGCTGTGTAAAGTACGATAACCCTAGGGCGTAGGTCAATGTCAGATCTCGACTTCAATGTCCTCTGGTTGACAGAGACATATATTCCACACGGACCGGTTTTGGCGCCACAAAGTCCCCGCTGTAACCCCAAGAAGATAAGCTTGTAACGGCCTCCAGACGCCAGGCTCAAATTAGAGCAGACTCACATTCCGTAGCACAGGCTTAGTTCCATAACTCACTGCGTCTACACAAAGGTCGCTTTCTACGCATAATTATAACGTTACATAAGTGTGGTGAGTTCTGGATTCAGATGTACGTGATGAGGCTACTTCTGTTGGCGCTTTCTGTATCCATATCAGCTACTAATCCGGGTAAGACACCAAAGTCTATCTTGTTTATCATAAATATATGGGGAGGGGCTAGGCTAGCGTTTTAGTCACTTCAAGTAGTGAGCTAATGTTCCCCAGCACAAAATTCCAAAGGTGCTCCAGCTCGAACTGTACAACTGATGTTGTAGGTACATGTAGGTGAACCTGGTATTTTTTTTTCATCTGAACGTCACTTTGACAGGACATAGCTCTGAATATATTGACAAATTAAATTACAACATGTACGTCTTCTTTCCTTTGTAAGTGTCCACGAATACTGACGGCGATGTGTATAACGAGAAGCGCCGAGAACAGGTTGAGAACGAGCGCACGCCCGAGTACTGGAGCGACATGGCGCGGGCGTCCCTCTCCGCCGCTCTCCGCCTGCAGACCTTAAACACGAACGTGGCCAAGAACGTGGTGCTGTTCCTGGGAGACGGGATGGGCGTCTCCACGGTAACCACGGCCCGGATCCTGAAGGGACAAAAGGCGGGAAACCCGGGAGAGGAGACCGTGTTGGCCATGGACTCTCTACCGTACACAGCCATGGCTAAGGTCAGCGACACCGCTCCACAGATTGTGACCTGTACACGGCTCGGATTTGAGCGTTGACGTTACTTCACAATGCAAACACTTAAGTTGAGTAGTCTCAACTGATTTCATAACAGAAAAGGTCAAATATATACAAAATTGAAACACATAACTGCATATGCATACAGAAATAAATTCATTTGGACCCTCACACGTTCCTATATATAATTATCTATTGCGTTACTGCTTTATCAATTGCATTATCATATATATATATATCATCAGAAAACATCATTACTTTTAACAATAACATACCATTTGCAATGGTCTTATATTTGAGAGACAAACGCCAAGGGTGATTATGTGGCTGGTTCTCATAGAAAGTGCTGAAATTATGTTCTGACATATAGATAATTTTTCCCGATCTTTTTCAGACGTACAACATCGACCTACAGGTGCCAGACTCAGCTGCATGTGCCACGGCGTTCCTCTGTGGCGTCAAGACCAACCGAGGACTGGTCGGGCTGGACGGGCGAGCGACGTCCAAAAACTGTAGTTCCGCCAAGGGTCACGAGGTGGCGTCCATTCTCGTGCACGCAGAGAGAGCAGGTAGGCAAGCTAACCTGTTGTCAGTCCCCACCAGAGAAAGCAGGCAAGTTGATAGTGATGATTACTCTTTCAAATCGCTTGTTGGTTGGTTGGTTGGTTAATTGGTTTGATCGTTTTTATGGTCATCGCCACTTCAAACGTAGTGACATTCATGATAAAACGCAACAAAACCCAATACAACAAACAATGTCTATCTGTCATCGTTAGGGAAGTCGACAGGAATCGTCACCACCACCAGAGTTACCCACGCCACGCCGGCGGCGGCCTACGCCCACTCCGCCGCACGCGGCTGGGAGGCCGACAGCAACCTGACCGCCGAGGCCCGGGACAACAACTGTACCGACATAGCCTATCAACTGGTGGAGGAAACGCCCGATATAGAGGTACGAACTGTCCCTCTTTTTCCTCAGGAGGCGAGCTCACACAGGGTCTGGTCTGTTCGCTCGCTCGGTAGTGTATTGTAGTTGTGTATCAGTAGATGTAATACTTTGTACCCTGTAGAATTGTTTAGCAATAAAGTTATGTATGTTTATTTGTTAGTTATAGGAAGGAACCAGGCTTTATGTCACTATAGAAGAATGGGCACAAGGAAATGTCGGAAGCATCCTAAAGCTGCTTCAGTCAGTTTGATGCTGTGTATTTCAGGTGATATTAGGAGGAGGCCGTCAGGCCTTTCTAACAAACAACATGGCGGACCCTGAAGACGGGACGAGGGGACACAGGACCGACAGCAGGGATCTGACCCGGCGATGGCTGGACAGAAAACCCGGCCCGGCACGGTACGTCTGGAACCAGACGGAATTCAACAGTGTAGATCCGGAGTCAGTGGATTATCTCCTCGGTGAGGAAAGTAGTTTTTAAGCATGTCGTGTGATTTTTGTTGCCGTAGGATGTTTAACTAGACAATGACAGAACCTTCAACGTCATGAGACAACCTTTTCCATCACTTTGATTGGAATCCGGACGCATGATGGCGTCAAGAGTGGCCGAAAGACAGAATCTATACCACCGTCCTCTCTATTGTGTTGGACCTATATTAAGCTTAAATTTTGCAACTGTGGATATTCTACCAACACAGACAAGCTTTCATGCCAAGTACTAGTCGTATCGGTCGAGAACGTCAGCGCAGTGAATCAGACATCTGATGAGAGTTAACGAGATCGGCTGAAAATTCATAATCAGTGTTTCTGGTTTGCTCGAACTTGGCTTGAATTTTGCGACTTAAAACTAGTTCTTATCGGCACAGGTCTGTTTGAACCGAACCACATGCGGTACTCCGTAGACCGGCCTAACGACACGGCAGGGGAGCCCAGTCTGGCTGACATGACCAGGAAGGCGATACAAATCCTGCAGAAGAACCAGAAGGGATTCTTCCTGCTGGTGGAGGGTATGTCGTACTCCAAAACGGGGTGCCATTTCATCCTGTGCAACATTCATGAGTATGGCATTGCCATCTTGGTTTAAATTTTCTTTGTGTTTGACCAGGTTCTATACATTCAAATATTTACCTTGCTTGGTTTGATCAAACATTTACGTTCAAGAGCTTTACAATATAAGTTTGTTACCATGTTTTCCAGGAGGCCGAATTGACCACGCCCACCACTCATCCAAGGCGGTCAAAGCTCTAGAAGACACCGTGGCGCTTGATGACGCTGTACAGGTTAGTAGAGAACGTGTGTGTTTCTAATTACATAATTCCTCATAAAAGTCGTGTTAATGAACAATCTCTCAAGTCACGTCGATGAAGGTTAGACATCCTTCTAATGATATACTCAAGGAAATCGTTATTCAAGTCTTTCAAAATCCACCCAGGTGCTTGAGTAACAAATTCTATTGTGTACGTATCTCAAGTGTTACATGTATATGCCACGTAGTGTTAAGGTACAATGTAAGGAGGTGTCCCTGTCAGCTCTATAAAGTTTCTCCTATCCCCGGTGTCACAGGTGGCTAAAGACATGCTGAGCACGTCTGACAGCCTGATTGTGGTGACGGCGGACCACTCCCACACACTGGCGTTCGCGGGCTACCCTGATAGGGGACATCCCATATTTGGTATGGTTCAACTCCATATTTGGTATGATTACAAACTATATACGATACACCCATATTACATCCAACAAAGTTGTTGAGTTTAAATGCAGTGAAACAACATATCAGAAGCGGTCACAGATCCACATTGCCGTTTTCAGGGAAATTGGAGACCTCCAGGGCACTAGACGACCTGCCGTACACGACCCTTCTGTACGGCACCGGCCCAGGACACAACATCAACGGCACCCGGCATAACATTACAGATGTCGACACAGGTACAGGCCTTTTCTGGTTGGGTCATGTTTTTTTTTACGATAACCATAGTGTAAATTGGATACTAACAACCAAGTAGTACAAATTTATTTGCTGAAAATAGCACGCAAAGGCGTTTTTTGTCTTGAAGACTTGGTAATCACCTTCATGTACTTCTAGGATATGACTTTTCCGATAAATAGATGCTATTAGAATTGTCGGTGTTTGTTCCCATTGTATTTTCCAAGAACTATCGTAGAGTGGAACTTGTCATCACACTAGAAAGCTTTAAAGAACTCCAGCAATTAAATGTGCAAAGCTTGCGTGCCTGCGGTTATACCGGCTATACCGATACAGAACTACTCGTATCCTTACAGCGTATAAGGAGTACAGACAACAGAGCGCCGTTCCAATACGAACGGAGACGCACGGAGGTGATGACGTCATCATCATGGCGGACGGACCCATGGCACACCTGTTCCACGGCGTACAGGTACCTGTACCTGCATCATTTGTGCTTCCTCCACCTGACCTCTCTTTCAGTACCAAGGACATGGACGCCAGCGACCGGGTTTGCATTTCATCTAGAAATAGGCAAAGAAAATCACTAAGTTTTTCCTCAGTTTCATCCTCTTCTTCTCCAAACAAGTAAGGTCAATGACCTGAACCAGACGTCTCTCACCATGGTAACTGGTGTTAGGTTACATAATATTAATGTTGCAAGTGCCATGCAGAACTGAGTTCAAGAGGGGCTGCATGGCCACCATATATATGAATGTGTTTGAGTAAGAATAAACAAAGCTTGTTAAGATGGGCCATGTGAAGGTAAACATAATGCAAATGTTAACTTTCTAGTCTATAAATTGTTTTTCTGCTTCTTCGCAGGAGCAACACTACATCGCACACGTCATCATGTACGCGGCGTGTGTGGGGGAGTACACCCACGGCTGTGACATGCGCACTCCGCCGGTCAACCCGAGACCGAGCAAGAGTGCAGGGAACACCAGAGTCGCTAGAGGGGGCACTTATGTCATCACACTAGTCATCACTATCGCCTGTAGTCTTTCTGTGCTCTTTTGATTGATATTGAATTAAACTACTCTATACACCAAGAGTTCCGTTGCCAACATGGAGTCGTGTTGTTAACATGGCAGGAACACACGAAATGCTGGCAAGCTGGGAACTGTCAAATGCAGGAAAAACAGATACAAAAACTCTATCATACCATAAACACTAGTCATCAGAAAACTTGAACAGAGAAAAATATTTTGCCTTATGAGATGAAGACGTTAGATCCGGTAAGTCGTACAGATCTTGATACTGTTTGCAAAATATACTTATGCGCATTATATATTAAGGTTTTATCTTTTTTATTCATTTGTAATAGATACTTGGAATTATATTAAGCCGTGATGGAATTGTTGTTAAATATTGAGGAAAATGACTTGCTTTATATTATGGATGTAAATACTACTGTAACCACTGTCTTTTAGAAAATATTTAATGAAATTCGCAATTCAGCGAAATGGCTACGAGTGATTTTAACCTCAATAAACCATTCAAAAAAATAGGGCAGTATGTCTATAGTTGCGTCAGCATATACTAAAAGACATGCATACATTCTGGGCTAGGCCAGGTTAAGCCAGCGTTGTTTACAAATGGCGTGACGGTCTGTCTGTTGTACATTAACCACGGGCCAACAGAGGTGCGCCGTTTGGCGGTGATCCAAAAGTAATTAGTGACAAGGTGATGCGAGGTCACTGTTAGAGAGTCAATCGAAGATGAACTCTTGTTAAGTCAGCCTGACCTAACTCTAAATCTAGCGTCTGTATAACATCATCCACTACTTAGGAAACGTCAGATAGAAACAACTTGTAAACAAAATTTAAAGTTTCTCACCTACCGTCTATTCATTCTGTTACCCCAGTACTTGCCTTATGTTCTTGTGATGTTTGATAGGAGTTGGGAAGTTCTGCCTAGAAACGTTGGAACTTTTTTATGACTGATTGGGCCCTTGACATCTGATCAAAGGTTGGATTGTGCGTAAACAGCACCTACATTTATGGCTGTGAAGATGACTGGAGCTACATGTCGAGCCGCTCTGGTGGCCTGTTCCGTACTGGCTGTTCTCCTACAAGGGACGTTAGGTAAGATTCCATCTTCAAAAGCACGTCTTACCACGTTATACTAGTACTACAGTGGTAAAATAATGTACAGCGCGACGAATTCGAAGTACTAGTATGTGCACGTATACAGGCAGCAAGAGACGATACACACGACCGCCATACGAAGTCAAGGCACGACGAGAACACACCGAAACAAAACACATCAAACCACGATCCACACACTCCAGTGCAGAGCCAGATGAAAACAGATCAGTATATTCATGAAATTCACAACTGAATTCACAGATCGTTCCCTGTAGCTTCTTAATCTTTGGGTTGTTTCCAGGCAACAGTACGATGTTTAATCAAAAGTAATAATTGGCACCTTGCGCTCGAGGGTGCACATGACAAGCTAGAGAGTCAATAATATAAAGCTCGAGTACAATATTAGTGTAGTACTCAGCTCAACACAGCGAGACACAAAAATGCAGTCACGTAATACTTTACGCAGTACTTTACTTAGTAATACATAGACATACATTACACTGTACAAAACTACAAATCATAACAGGCTTCGACAAGGAAGATTTTGAATGTTTGGTATTTCATTTGTATCATATCTTCCGTAAATGATAAGAAATATATTTTCACAACGTTTTCATCCTTAAAGGCATCCAATGTGATTTCAGGGCAGCAAAACTGGAAATATTCCGAATAAGGCAATCTTTGTTATATTGGCACAAACTGCTTCACATTACCATATTTGAGTCAGCATTTCATACTTTGGGCATTTAAAGCAGCAGAATCAAGCCCCAATATGAGTCCTTTATTTTTTGGGTGGGCCCGGTACCCTTCCAGTGACCATTTTCCGTCAGAATTTCTGGAACTTTTACTCCATGACGGCCAATTATATATACATTGGGACAGTGTGGGTTAAACTCACTATGTACATAAATGACTAGAATATTGGCTTTGCAAAATCGGGTTTCCTAGCCCTAAAAAACTGCATTGGATGGCTTTAACCTCATATACGTGTAACGTACGGTTGCCTAGGTTCTCCGGAAGCGCCAGCCCACACTGGCCGGGCACGGCACACCAGGGACTATGGTAACGCGCCGGAGGCTGAGGAGAACCCGGAGTTTTGGAACAAGATGGCGGAGAGAGACATCCAGGACGCCTTACGGATTCAACGGAGCCACAACACGAATGTAGGCATTCAAAGACTTGACCAAAATCTTACCGGTTCTACCTTCACTGTGTCCAAATAATTCTAGCATTCTTACTCACGCTTATTACAGATAGACAACGTAACAAGCGTGATACCCAATTGTGATGCTTTTTGTATTCCTTTAACACCTTGCACTTTTTCGTTGATTTTTCACGATTCCTTTGTACTATTCTGTAAAGCTTTAACCTTTTGTGTCTATCAAAACCAAACAGATAGCGAAGAACGTGGTGATGTTCCTAGGCGACGGGATGGGCCAGGTCACTGTGACGTCAGCACGGATCCTGAAGGGACAAAAGGCGGGAAACCCTGGAGAGGAGACCGTGTTGGCCATGGACTCACTGCCGCACGTGGCGCATGTCAAGGTAACCATGTCATAGAACAGGAAACAAATTGGCTGTCCAAGAAACTCTTTTGGACAGGCTGGTTTCCCGCGAATTTCTTCCCGATCAACGCTTTTCTGGGCTCTCTAAGTCAAGGGTCAGTCAAGTTGTTTTTCTTAACATGTTTTTCTTAACATGTTGATAACATGTAATTCAGCCTTCGGGCTGTGAAATGTTTCAAATAAAACCCATATTATTATTATTATCATTATTATTACTTATCTTCCAGACGTACAACATCGACGCGCAGACGCCTGACTCTGGCGCGACCGGCACTGCGTTCCTGGGCGGGGTAAAGGCGCGGTTCGCGACGATCGGCGTGGACGGCAGGGCCCGCCTGGAGGACTGTAACTCTACCCGCGGCACGGAGGTCCGGTCTGCGCTAGTCTGGGCGGAAATGGCAGGTGGGCTTCTCAGCAATTTGTCTCCTCACAAACGTTCCAACAAACCTTGGATCTGAGCTGATTGTGCAAGATCATTCGCTCAACATATGCAACTGCCATCTACTAGATTAAGTACGTAGTCCAACTAGAAACCCATGGTCTGAAATTGCTCACAGTGTACTAGGTCCAGTGCCTCTGATTATGTACATATCTCCCAGGTAAGTCCACGGGAATCGTGACGACCACCCGCATGACCCACGCCACCCCGGCGGCGGCCTACGCTCATACCGCTTCCCGCGACTGGGAGGCGGACAGCGTTATGTCGCCTGAAGCTGTCCGGGACGGTTGTAAGGACATCGCTGCACAACTGGTGGACGACAATCCCGGCATAGAGGTACCGTCATGTAGTACAGTCATCGTACCTGTGGTTCGAATTTGAGTTATATTAGAGTTATATTTGACAGACGCCAGCCAACCACCGGCCAACCATGGCCCGTCCACACCCGGAAACATTTTGAAACATTCGGCTGCCGCAGTCCAAGAATGGCCGACATCGCCAAGCCACAGCCGACCTTTCTTCCGACCTACTCCCAACCATTTATGGAATGAGATCGGCAGTGTTCGGGAGGCCGTGTTTGGCTCTGTATAACAGGGGTTTTAGGTTGCTAGTAGCAAAAACCGATGGGATCATTCCTTGCAGGTGATTCTAGGAGGCGGTCGAGTGATGTTCCACGCCGGTGCCGACCCGGAGTACCCTGCCGACCCCGGGTCTAACGGCGTGCGGAGTGACGGCAGGGACCTGGTGCAGGCCTGGCTGGACGGGAAGACGGCAGCGCGGTACGTCTGGAACGGGACGGACTTCAGAACCGTCAATCCACAAACAACTGACTATCTGATGGGTGGGTTGTGATTATGTGTATCGAAGGAATACATATTATTTTTGCTCAGTTTCTTCCTGTTCTTCTCCAAACCAATAAGGTCAATGACCTGAACCAGACGTCTATCACCATGGTAACTAGTATCGGGTTACATCATGTTGCAATTTTATAGCAGGAGGGATTTAGGCTCCTGTCTGACCATATATGTGAATGCATGTGTTTGAATTAACAGTAAGAATTAACAGAGCAGCCATATGCGAAGGTAAACATGATGCTTTGCAAATGTTGCTTTCTAGTCACGGCGTAACTTTGCATCATAATCTCCAAGCAGATCCTACGGTGGCAAGGCTGCATGCATCCTTGCCACTGCATGATCTGCTTGGAGATTGGACTATCAAGGTATTTTGTTCTTACCATGCTTTTGACAGTGCCAAATAAATTTTGTAAATGAATAGTAATAGTAAAGTCTAAAGACCTCCTTGTAGTCCATTTCTGTGTCTTGTTGTCAGAGTAAGCAACACGGCATCAAAGGTATTGTGAATTCTTTTTGTCCAGGTCTTTTTGAGGCGTCTCATATGAAATACATGACGGACAGAAATGACTCTGCAACAGAAGAGCCCACCCTAGCGGAAATGACGAGAAAGGCCATCCAGATACTGCAGAAGAACGCAAACGGCTTCTTCTTGCTTGTCGAAGGTATTTTTTCCAGAACACCTGTCATCCACAAAGATGCTATAAACTTGCTATTTTATGAGACAAGTTGATACAATATAAATGGAAACAATATATTCGGTCCATCGAGAAATAGAAATGAACTTAAAGTGGCAATATAAAACGCAAAAAAGTTTTTGCATCTCGGTTTGAGTTTGGGTTTAACGTTACTATACACTAGAGAACTTCACTACCAGGGCGTACATGGTTGCCGTCTTACCACAATCAAGCTGGGATTTACATTCTAATTGTCATAAACGTTGATAATTTCTTGCCTTTTGTACTAGGCGGTAGGATAGACCACGGACATCACGCGGGAAAAGCAGTCAAGGCTCTCAACGAAGCTGTGGCATTTGACGACGCCATACAGGTACAGTACGAAGTTTATGGTCATTATTGCCGTATTTCGGTAGGACGCCACAGGTTGCTGATCGCCAGAGATCCGCTGAACCGAAAGGAGAGTCTCAAAGCTAGCTAGCTGATTCCTTCAACTTCAACTACTTTTATTTTCTTATGGTGGTTTATGTCATTACTGTCGTTTGACGCCACAGGTCGCTAAAGACATGCTGAACCTGGATGAGACTCTCATCGTGGTAACGGCTGACCACGCCCACACCGTCAGTCTGGGGGGCTGGGACACCTCCAGAGGCAACGACATATTTGGTAAGTCTCAAAATTCTTTGATTTTGCTTTGTTCGCTACCTTCGCCAAGTCGCCAAGAAGGTTATGTTTTCAGACGCGTTCGTGTGTGTGTGTGTGTGTGTCTGTCTGTGTGTGTGTGTGTGTGTGTGTGTGTGTGTGTGTGTGTGTGTGTGTGTGTGTGTGTGTGTGTGTGTGTGTGTGTGTGTGTGTGTGTGTGTGTGTATGCTTTGGTGAACGCAAAGGACAAGCCCAATTAGTTGCTGCAATGTTTCTTACAGACGATAGGGGGAGTGCTGATTTCTCAAGATGATCGACGTCTTTAATTCTTTGTAAAGCAACATTTATTTTCACTTATTACTCTGTTAATGTTGCAGGCAAGTTGGATCCGGATTTTTACCTGGAAAGCCAGAACGCTTACGCGGTTGTTGACCGCAAACCGTACACGGCACTTCAGTACGGTACCGGTCCCGGACACAACATCTCCCATGCTCGCCAGGACATCACCAACGTGAATACAGGTACGAGATCATTCGTTGACAGCCAAACGCGTTCCCTTTTTTGTTAGTTAACTACCACTCTATCGTAACCAGTATATCAACAAAAGCACTATAAATGTCTATACCTCCCTCTCTATATCCCTAATTAAAACGATAAAACCTAAAAGAAAAGTATTGGACAACAACTATTGTGATAGATGATACACGCTCAGCTGACTATTCCTGTGTAAATGTCCTTTGTCTGACACCACTCAGCATAGTATCATGAGAGGTAAACCACCCATGGCTAAAACTTTACACGGAGGCTTGGCTATCCCAATAGCACTATCAGCCAATAGAAAACGATAGACGGCATGCTGCACCTAGGTAGACCAGATTGTGACTGTTTCACTGTGTCCCCAGGCGACCCTAACTACCTCCAGCAGACCGCCGTGCCCATGGTGTCGGAGAGTCACGGCGCGGAGGACGTCGCCATCTTTGCCGCCGGCCCCATGGCTCAGCTGTTCCACGGCGTGCACGAGCAGAACTACATCGCGCACGTCATGAAGTACGCCGCCTGTCTGGGGGAGTACGCAGACGACTGCGATCGGGAGGAGCGGGCAGCGTCTGGATCCGCTAGGGGGCGCTTCAGCATTGCTGCTGTGTTCTTGTCCGTCTTCTTACAGCTTGCGTGGTTCTAAGTGTACCAATAACGTAGTATTGCGAAATAAATCTTATAGTATACAAAACAAGCTATCTTTTTGTCCTCTACGAGTCGATTTCTGATAATTAAGCTGAGTTCCGACTGAAGGTCGGTTATACCGGCTATACCAATACAGATACAGATTAGGACTTCGATATGTATGAAAGAGATCCCATTTATGGTAAAAAATCCTATTAACTTTTAACTTCTCATCATATAGAAAACGTCAATAAATTCGGCGTCCTAAATTCACACAGAAAGCTCGTACATGCCTTGATCTTCGTAATAAGTTCACTTTTACTGTATTGAAATAGATATTCTATATGGATTTTGGAATTTTCTTTCCTGTGACTAATGATATAAAAACTATTGCTTTCGAAATTTTCCTAATTGTCTATAATGGTAATTAATGGAGGAGGCACCTAGTGACAGAAGGCATGTGCCTACAATATCTAAAATTAACTCATCAGCCAGTACTTGTTGAAGAGTTTAAGTATCGCTTCTACCAAGTGTAGACGTTGAAGTTGACGCGTGCCCGGAATGACCGTTCCACCGCCACTCATCTGTCCGCATGTGTCCTTACCTCTACACGGGACCACCAGACACGGGACCGTACAGGTTCATCAGAACACCCGGTCCGTACACGGGACAGGGGCACGTGTGGGTGAGGACAGCCGAACGCGTGAGGGAGGACAGACAGACCGCACCATCACATCGAAACATACGACAGCCTGCAAGATTACGCCTCCATGATGTACGTGTACGTGTGTTTCACTGTACATATATAACATTACCTTACCTAAGACAAGCTCAGATACTTTTAATTTACTGATGTCATGCCCTGAACCAATATCCTTGTATATAGGCCAATTCATATCCTCTGCTCTTCAGAAAAGAAACAACATCATCTGTGACACCTTGAACTGATGTTAACATTGTATCCATGTTCCATATATATTGTATAATTCATCACTCACAATTATAGGGTAGCGTTAGAATAAGGTATATAGAAGTAGATTTTAGTATTGTTGTTATCTTTTGATTTAAACACTTGCCATACATTGTATCCATTGCAATTGTTGCGCAATAAAGATTGATTGATTGATTGATTGTATTTCTTTTTTATGTCGCTATGTTAGAATCTACCTCTGTGGAGTTTGTCTAGAGCATGGTGTACATTCTGGATGTACAAATAACTTCTGTATTACCAATTCATACATCTACTACACACTAATTGCCTTTGAATAGACTATTTGAATTTAGACTCTTTTTCATCTTTGAATGAATAGTTATGGTAAGATTGTAAGGTTGTTTCCCCTCGCCTTTGGCCAACAATGTTTGCAGATCATTTTGAGGTGTACTTGAAATTGTAGCGATCCCTTGAACTGTGGTCGCGTTTACTGCCCCTGTGCACAACAACAATCAGCTGGTGTACCTGTGCACCGACCTTCGGTACCCAATCATCCCCGCTGACGTCGCCCCGCGCCCGGCCATGCCCTCTGTCTAACCGGCTTACTGCCAGGCTGTGAGCACGGCTGCCAAGACGGGATGGAACTCTCTGGTAACAACCTTAGGCCATGTTGATTTGATTATATGGATGACATCCTCCGGGAGCCCTTAAACTGATGCGCGCGTGCGAATAAAAAAAAGTTTTGCAAAAAAAAGTTGTTTTCATTATGAAATCTACGTGGTCATGAGGGTTGAGCAAATGGCACAGAATATGGTTTGGCGAATAATCTAGTCTTCAAGTTCATTTCTTTACAATTTCGTCTTTTTTCGTTTGATTTTGGCATTCTACGACATTGGTATAGTTTTTATTAATTTTTTTTGTAACTTATGGTATATTTTTGCTCATTTTGCAACTGTTTTGTACGATTTACAGTATGGTTGAAAACTTTTTTTGGGGGGGGGGGGAAACGGCCGAAAATTCATGCGCGCGCGGATGTCATCCATATAATCAAATCAACATGGCCTTAAAGGCATCCAATGCGATTTCGGGGCAGCAAAACTGGATAATATTCTTAATTAGGCAATCTTTGTGATATTGACACATACTGCTTCACATTAGCACATTTAAATCATCATTTCATTCTTTAGGCATTTAAAACTGCAAAAACAATCCCCAAAGTTCTTTATTTTCTGGGAGGTACCCTAAAATCAGTCCAGGTCCCTCCCAGTAACCATTTTCTGTCAGAAATTTGGGGGGTTTTGCTTCATGAGGATCAATATACACTGGAAAAGTGTGGTTTCAACTCAGTATGTAGATAAATGACTTGAATATTGGCGTTGAAAAATCAAGTTTCCAAGCTCTAAGAACTTTACTGGATGCCTTTAAGTAGTCTTGTATTCTGCTTTGGTCCGCCAAGATGCCATTTGAGAATTAAGCGATACTGAGCGAGTTGGATATCGAGCTATACTTCTAGCTTACCTTTCCAAGATAACTGTTACGATACACGAAATGAACGGCCCTTTGTACATTATAGCCGACTTCGAACGATATTAGTTAGCTGGTGCGTTATACGCCGAGGTCGGTTATACCGGCTATACCGATACAGATAGTTAGATCCAACATAGAAACTTGAGACCAGAGTCCTACTTTTTTTTAAACACGCCTCAGTGCACGTGGCCGTCCACGGTACTTTATGGTTAACAGTGTATAGAGAACAGAACTATACACAACAGAAGTGTACACAACAGAAGTATACACTACTTCCTACACTCTCCGCGGCAAATATGGCCATGTCTCTGCTGCAACTCTATTGATAGAACCCTTCGCTGGTTAGAGACGGAAGTTGTGTGGAGTTTTGCCAATGGACAAACATCTAATGTAAATTCCACGGAATCTTCCGTGTACATTTAACAAAATGTCATGCACATAATGTAAGTTTACCACGTGTACTGAGGCAAGGCTTTCTCTGTTTGCAGTCTCGTGTAGTTCGCGTGGCAGTCACTGGTACTGTAATGCTGTATTGTATATTAGTGAGGCCATGTTGATTTAATTATATGGATGATGACATCCGCGCGCGCGTTTCCAAAAAAAGTTTTCAAACATACTGTAACTCGTACAAAACAGTTGCAAAATGAACAAATACATACCGTAAGTTGCAAAAAAAAATTCAGAAAACGATACCAATGTCGTAGAATGCTAATATCAAACAAAAAAAGACGAAAATGTAGATTTCATCATGACAGCAACTTCTTTGCAAAACTTTTTCATTCGCACGCTCGCATCAGTTTTTGGGTTCCCAGGGGATGTCATCCATATAATCAAATCAACATGGCCTAATTGTGTATATTGTATATTAGCAATCTTTACTTCAGCACCAAGGACAGAGAAGACAGAAGACTTTGGTTAGAAAAATATATCAGAACCGTCATAAAAAATGATGGCCAAATCAAACTATATACATATGTGACATAATTATTAATAGGCTTCCCATTGAAATCGTTGCGTTTTCCAAATTACTTCTTTTCATCGTTGAAAAGTTTCGTCGTTGTAATGATGTTAATTGAGAGATAATTCCTGTAACGTTGCCATCAACGGGATTTGGTTGATGCTAATAGCTAATTACTCTGTTCCACCCTATTGAGGCGCAGTGAAATGCTGCTTGTTAGTCATATTCTTGGGCTTGAACTTGCAAGACGTGTATAGTTACCGTTTTTTTTTAATTACGAGCCGCTTTTCGGGTTGCGAAAAGTGCTAACGAAGTACTTGTCTGTCGGTGTACAGTCGTTCTAATTAAATGGCGACCATTCAGATGACACATGCGGGTAACTGCACGGTTTGATCGAAACGGTGCCTAATGGTTTGGATGGCCACTTCAAACTTGTGAGTAGTCTCACAGAAGATTGAGGCAGTAATCCTTAACAAATGTTGGAGATAAATTTAGCCGTGCAGGGATCAGGATCCCATAGGCAGAGGGGAATGCGGGGGAGAGAGAGTGTGTGAAGGATCAGTCATCTTTGCCTTAGATCTCCTTATGTAATAGAACCAGCTGCCGCCGCGAGGTTGTGTTACGGAGAATGGTGCTTATACTCGCTCGGTAAAACTGTACGCGGTAAAACAGCGTGAGGAGAAAAAACAATAATAACTTAAGACGATTGATGGTTAATATCACAACCAGAAAACTCATCGAAACAACGTCTTTTTGTACATTATAGAGTAACTTAATGTACAGAATGCATATCGCCAAACCAATGATGTTATATAAACGCTCGGACTTATGAAGCTTATGACTTATGAACATGTATATATTTCTGAGCAATACTTCCTAATGTACTGTATATTCTTCACCAACGTGGACAGCAAGGCGGCTGTATGGATCTGTCATATTCACTCCATTACAGTTGTCAATATCCTTATATATACGCCATTTTAATTACAATTTGGTCACGATAATTTATTTAGATATCTATATAAATTTTGCGTATAATCATGCTATCTAGATGCTCTGTTTATTCTAACTCAAACCTACCATGCCGGTTGTAGGTCATTGACTTCGCCGTAATTCGTGTAATGCCACAATGAAACACCACCTGAGACAGGTTATATAAATATCGTAAGAATGGTGTGATATTACTAAACCCAGATTTCCATTGTATCAAGTGCTTTCTGGGAATACCTCCAACGTATCATGTGTGTGTGCGCGGGGAAGAGGGCATTACAAGATAGAATTACGACGAGGTCAGTAAAATCGTCGGCGAGGTCAGTGACCTGCGTCAGGCATGGTACGTGCGTTTGAGTAAAAATAAACATAGCAGCGATAGTATTATTTACGATGTTGTCGGTGTTTACCTCTGCTCTTGTACTTCTTTACCAACTACTCGTCAGCCTTGAAAGTGCTGAAACTCCAAACACTTGAAGACCGAAGTGTCGCTCTGTGTGCTAAGTTCGCCAAGAAGGTACACAACTCCGATCTGTACAGTCACTGGTTGCCAGAACATAGAGGTAACATTAGCGGCAGGGTGACCAGACAGAACGGAAAGATTGACCAGGTGCCAGCAAGAACCGACCGT